CGCATGGACACTATCCCCTCATCACGACGAGTGCGATGGATTCTAAGATCTAATTATTGCTCGCTCAATGTCCAAACGGCACTATTGGGTAGCATTCACTATGGATGTCTCCGTCCCATCGTTCCGGTTTACGTGATTGACCAGGTCTTTAAGAAAGAATCTTGAATTCGTGTGACATGCTTCTTCATATCTTTTCTCTTGTTTAGTACCTCTTACGCCGTCGTTTACAGTGGGAAAAGTTTCAAAACCCGGATGCGGTGGCGTTTGCCATGATGGTTGCACACGTAATTCACCATAAGTGGAAAAAAAAAAGTATTGGGAGACTTGGTGAGTTGGGTTAACGATGAGAGAAGATTGCATGGTATATGTCTTATTATATAAAGTTTATATAAAGTTGGATGCGTTAGTAATTCGTATAATCGTAAGATATGTAGTGATTTAAATCGATAAGATTTTGATATGTGTGACGATTAAAATAAAATAAAAAATAAAAAAGATATATATCAATTAAAAAGAAAAAGATATATTTAAATTAAGAAAACAATTAAAAAATAGATAAACAAAACTAAAAAAAAAATATTTCAATTAAAAAAAATAAAAAGCAAAAATATAAAAATAATTTCAATGTAGGAAAATAAATAAAACACCAATCCTAAAAATATTAAATTCAATTTGGGAAGATATAAGGTAAAATACTAATTCTGAAAAAAAAATTTCAAGTAAGAAAAATAAAACTAAATAAGATTAATTTTAATTTAGGAAAAGATAATTAAAACATTAATCCTAAAAAAACAGAAAAATATTTTTGACCTTTATGTCCTCATAAAAAATGTTCATATCATCATATATTAGTATACATTATTCAAGCTTATATGATTGAAATTATTCTTACTTAATAGAAATATAATCATTATTATTGTTATTTTTATAATTTTGCTTTGATGTTCTTAATTTTTTCTTCTACATAAATTATGCGATTTTTTTTTCAAATTATTTTTATGAATTACTTAATAAAAAGATAATCATTATTGTTTTTTTTGAAATTTTGCTTTAATGCTTTAATTTATTTTTATTTTTTTCTATATGAATTATTCAATTTTATTTTTAAGAATCACCTGAGAACATTAAGAGAAAACATTAATGTCACCTGACAACATTAAGAATCACCTGAGAACATTGCGAATCCTAATCTAGTTTATATATATATATATATATAGTCCAGAGAATAATATGAAGACGTTCACTCGTCAACCATAAAGCATATATGCGCTTATCGAACTTGAAACATCTTTGTACCTGGGTGACACACTGACACGATTATATTTATTTTGAGATTTTAAAGTTGCATATTTATTTTGTTTTTCCTTTACTTCAATAATTATAAACATACTTAGTAGATATAATGGTTCTTTTATCCATCATCAGATTAATTTCACTTTTTAAGGCATCAAATTCCAATTAAAATTTTTGGGAGGTTAACGCTATTTTGGATCTCAAACAAATATGAACAAGAGTAGCAATTTCTTGGGGGAAATGACACAACGAAAACAAAGTACATATCAGACACAAATGTAAAACAAAAAAAATGAAATCTTTGAGGAAGAGACTCAGTAAACTTCAGTAGCAAAGTTGCTAGTGGGAAGTCTCTGTCGCTTTTCAATGTAAGCCATAGGGAACCAACCAGCTTTGCCTTTGCATTCTCCTTCAGCCCAACCGGTTTGGCTCACCTGAGAATATTAAGAGAAAACAACACACAAAGACTTAAAAATTTGATCCTCTAACCAAAGATTAGTACTTTGATCTTAGTAATAATATATAAACCTTTCGCACAACGACGTAGTCTCCTTTATCCAAGTCTAGTTCTTTCTCTGAAGCAGCAGAAAACGGATGAATCACCTGTCAAGAAAACAGATATGTTGCTTATGAAGAGTCTTTTTCCCTTCTCTGAGATATTACGCAAGATAAAAAGTAAAAACTTACTTCAGCTAGAAAGTATGATGTTTTCTCTGAGCCGTTCTCTGTTGGAATCGCAGGAGGAGCAGATTCTTTGTGTTGTTTCTCGGTTACCATCTAAGAAACGCGGTTAAGGACGAAAACGTGTGAGCTTTTTTGATGAGAAACAGATATGAGAAAGATCAATCCATAACTAACCTCCGCTTCAATGTCACTGAGGACGGCGGCTATTCTCAAGTGATAATTCTTCTCCCCTTCGACCTTCAAGTTCAATAAGCGATATGATTAAAACAGTAATCATCATAGAACACGAAAACGCCGAAGGGTATGTGTGTAATGATACCATAGCCACAAGCCTCTGGAAAGTAAGTCTATGTTGCTGAGATTCAACAGCAGCCAAAGCAGCAGTCGCTTCTTTACCGAGAACCGCCATGTTCGCTTTAAGCTCTTGCATCTTTGCTTCCGCTAGTTGAAGCTTCGCGACGTTCTCAGGAATCGGAGCTTCCCTTACACGCGCTTGCCTTCTAGAGACTTCCGTTGCCTGTTTTGCTTTTAGAATTTTAACTCACATTACAATATAGCCAAACACCAACAAAGAAGTGAGGTTTTAAAAAGAAGATTACATGTGTCTCTGCTTCTTGTCTCATGCGGCTGTAACGCTGAGCAAGATGACGAGCATCTTCAAGAGGAGAACCGGCAACCATAGCTCTAATAGGATCCAACACCTTAATACATTCGTTAAAAAAGAAGTTTTCTCATGATATCTTCTAGTTTTCGTTTCAAAGCAAAAAAAAAAACTAAGACTAAAACAGATAATTTCATAGACAAACCTGAGAAGACAAAAGCTTGTTAAAGTCTTCTTGTTCTTTCTCCACATGTTTCCGAGCATCACCGTATATAGCTGCAGCCTTGGCTAGAATATTCTCATCGATGTTCTGACTGTTCTCTGTTCCATATCTACAGCAATCTTCAGCCAACTTGGTTCCTAACAATTCAAAGAATATTAAAAAACCCAACACAAAAGTGTCATAATCAGAAATAGGTAACACAAAGTAGACATACCTGCTTCAATGTGTCTGAGCCCGATTGAGGTAAACGCCTCTGCTGCTTTAACGATCTCTCTCTGGAACTCCTGAAAGTGACAATAACATATATTTGAGAATATTATGCTATAAATGAATCATACTGAAACCCTACACAGCGAGATGAAGCTCAAGATGACAATGCCATTAACAACAATAAGTGAATTTCTGAAGTAAGACAGAGAGTCAATTTCAGTCGAAACCTTTGCGGAACGAGTAGAGCGGTAAAGCTTATCGAGCTGATGATGTCTCTGCATTTCAAGCTCATCAATCACCATTACATCTGAGCTTTCGTATCCAGTCCCACTGAATTGCTTGATCACAGCCTACACTCCCCCCATTACCACACACCAACACAAAATTATCACCAAGGGTTTGTGTAATACAAATCAAAACGCTTGAATCGATTCGGACTACTGGAAATTTGTCTACAGCTTGAAAAATCAAACACCTAAGCAGTTTTATTTTCTCCAGATTTTCTCCAGATTAGCAGAGTCCGATATCCTCAAATTCGGTAAATCCGTACAAATGCAGAGGAAGCTAAAAATGTGATTACCAGTTGTTGCTTTGCGACTTGATCCCTGAGCTTACTCGCTTGTCTTCTAAACGCATCCATTGTCACTTCTCCTCTCGATTTACCCAAATTGACACAGAGGAAACAAATGAAGCAAGCTTTAGGGTTTTTGAGAGGAATTGGGAAGTCTCACTTCGATCAGACCAGCTTAGAAACCAGATCTGATATCAGATATTGTAGTAATATACGTTCTTCTTCGTCTCGATGTCACTGATCTCTATGATCCTCGGAAAAATCACAGAGCACACAGTATGGAGCCGGGTCGGGTCGGGTCGGATAGGATAAATGGTCGCGAGAAATGCCTACATTGAAATGAATCTAGCATCGGAAATTGAACCGACCCGAACCGAACCAATTGTGTCCGGTTAAAGAATGAGCGTTCACGATCCAAATGGGCCCTATCTAAAAGACCTTTACGTGACATTTATTTATTATTGATGAATTAATTATCTAAGTCCGTTCGCTTAAATTGTAGGTATCAACGAAAAACCTGACATGGCCATCCTCACAGCCACTTGTCTATTGTACCCACTCCCCATATCATTTGTCGTAACTGCCATAACATCATAATAATAATCTGATAAGACAGCCTATAGCATTTTATTTATTTTCTTATTAACGTTTGGATCTTTCTAATATATGTGAATTCCTAACACTACCAACTACAACTTCAGTGAGATATTTATTAACCATGCTCTTAACATTATTGAGTTTTGGCTCTATGCTTAACCAAAACTAATGTTTCTGCGTCCTTCAGTGAATAATGTAACCGACTTAGTTACTGTAATGAATCCGATGATCAGAATCACCTAAAATTGCAATATAATGTTGTGGCATCAAATCCAAAATTGACACTAGTTAATTAATAATCTAGCAACACCAAATTTAAATCAATCCACGACACAACACATGATCACTGAAAGCCCTTCACATGTATTTGGTGTCTATATTTAACACTGTTTTAAAAATATTCGTTATCGGTTTTATAATACATCAACAATGTTATTAAAAATGGTTTTAGACAAACTCTTAGTATCAAAAATGCACTTCTATTGGTAAAAAAAAAAAATTGCACTTCTACACTCTATTAGGCTTCCTGGCTTTTATATAAGTGTAGTAAACTGGCACCGATTATTCAGATTTTGTTTTTTAATATCTCACCCGATTAAGACCAAAAATGTTTATAGTTTTCAGATTTGTTTTTTTGGCTTTTGGTTTCTTTTTTTTTATAGTAAATCTAAAAGTTATTTTGGTTTTGGGAAATCTTAACAAAAAATAATCTCTATCCATTATATGTTTCCTTGTCGACATCAATTGAAAATGACTAAAAATTAGTAAAAACGGAACAAACGCGGAAACAAAATACAAAAACAGTAATGAGTGATTTTACAGTAAATGTCAAATAAAAGAGAAACCCCTTCACATGTATATAAAAATCACACAAACTTTCCCACTTATACCATTTGATTTTTGAACTTTACGACTCAGGACAAAAAAAAAAAACCCAAAGACGCCATTTTTTTCCTTTCCTAATTTACAGAGAGAAAGCAAAGAGACAACCCACGATCCGCCATAGCTGTACAGATCCCCACAAGAGAAGAAAGCCCTAATCATGCCTCCAGGTGCTAAGAAAAGAAAAGCCGCTAAGAAAAAGCAGGAACAAGCATCTTCTACTCAAATCAATCTCAAATCCAACAACCAAGGTGAAATTTTTGATTTTTTAACAGCACATAATCCCACTACCTACCTTGTCTTTTGCTTCTTCTTCTTTTTGTCTATCTGTCTGTATCTCAATTATTCAATCACACACACGTTTAGGCGACCTTGTTTGTTTGAATTTGGTTTATTCTCTATATAGATTCTTCAAGTTTGGATTTTGATTGTTGTGCTCATCGATCAACACAAATGGGTATCCTTTTACTTCTTCTTTTTTATCCTTCAGTGTGTTTCGAATTGGGTTTTTAGTTTTTAAGTTTTAGGGATTCCAAGCTGTAAACTTTGGTTTTTTATTGTCCGGCTAATTTTAGCATGTTTGCAATTCTTCTGCCGTGAATCTAGGTTCAGTTTCAGATCACTGATTTGTCAGATTCATGATTATCCTCTTGAAATTTTATATCTTTTGCTGATTTTAATGGATCTCTGATTTGATATATAGCTGTTGTTCCAGTCTGGTCTTTTAAGGTTCTTGATTCTATGGATGGTAGATTAAACTTGAACAGATTGTGATATTATTATTTGTTTGCTATGTTCTGAAACTGATTGGCTTTTGTTAAACCGGTTTTGTTAGAATCGAGAAGCCAAAACGAAAGGGAGAGTGATGATGGTGTTAGTTCCCATGAAAACTACAAGAAAGCAGGATTCACCGAGGAAGATGCTGTCAGAATCGAAAAGGAACCCGAAGAGATCACTGATTCAAGCCATGATCACGACAAGAGCTCTAGCAGCAGCAGCAGTAGCAGCAGCAGCAGCAGCTCGGATGATGAATCCAAGGAAGTCAAGAAGAAAGATGATGATAAGGAGGAGACTGGAGATTCGGTTTCTGAAGCTATCGCTGTGAGTTCTGTGCCAAATCAACCTATTCCAGTTGCTGGAGATGCTCCGTTTATGGGGTCTACTGCTAATGTGATTGTAGAGTCTACCGGTTTGATGGATTCAGCTACATATAGCGATCCAAACCCTGAGAAAACGATTGAAATCTCGCCAATCTCAAACGTGACTCCTTTGCCTAAACCTACTGAGATTGCCGCTGAAGCTTCTTCAGGTGCAACATTGCCACTTTCAGATGCCAACGATGTTCCTCAAGGCAGAACAGAGTCTGAAGTTGTCATTTCTCATGAGGAAGAGGTATTTATTTGCTAACCCATTCGGTTCATGTTTACTTTTTTGTCGCTTTATGTTACCAAAACAAAAAACTTAAACTCAGTTTATTCTCTCAGGCTCCTGTGAGACCAACACATGGAGTTGCGGAAAGGACCTCATGGTTGAGTTGTTGTGGCTTGCTTGATGTGATGACAGGATCCAAGTAGATAAAACTCAGGTAACCCCTAACATGTTTATTTTACTCTGCCTTTCTCTTTAAAGCATTGTTACTTGCATAGTCTCCCTATTTATGAGCTTCATTTGTATATGATTTTCACCTAAAACTGAAAGATAGAGTACCATATGAAAGCATTTCTTTGATGATCAATGGCACTGTCAAGTGAGCAGCGAGTTTAAAAATAGAATTAGCCTAAATCCTTATTTGCTTGTTGATGAGTTTAGTGATACTTTTTGTTGTTGTTCTAATTTATTCATTCGCAGAAACTTGAGTCGCCTGCAAACTCTGAAGCTGCAGAAGGGTGATCATGGACAAGGATTCTCAGTTTTCGTTTTCGTGTACTTGTGATGATACAACACGCGAAAATTCAGTAACTTGGTGAATATGTCTCTCTTTCATCTGAGAACACAAAACACACCTTTTATTATATGAAGTATAGTACTCAGCTTCTAGTAGTCTTTTAAGCAGACATGTCTGCAGTTTCTGCTCTTTATATAAGTTCTTACAGGTTCTTTTCCCTTTCGCTCTGTACGATTCCTTGTATGTTGTTGTTTTTGTTCTCTCGGGTTCTGAGACTTTGAAGACTCTTGTTGGCCAACTTAATACGATTTATGTATGAGTATTTTCACTACACATGAGGTAATAATATCTTTGTCTAGCATTAGAGTTTTGAAAAGCTGCATTGCTTGATTTCAAGAAAACATAACCAGACTTCACACGAAGTCCACACCAATCAAACTCTAAAACCGACACACAATTTTATACCACAAACACATAAGGGTTAGATCAATGATTTGAGATGATTTCATTTTTTTCTAACTTTTCTCTTAATCTAGCATTTGTAAAAGTTATTAGAGTAGTCATTTATATAAATTTTATTATAATCTTGTTTTATTCAAAAATTGCTATTTCATTACTAGATTATATAAAAGAATGATTTGAGAGATATTATCATATGCATAATGAAATCCCAATTTTATACACAGTAGTTTATATCAATTATTTATACATAATTCAACATTTAATTTATGAAACACTTTTTTTTCTTTCTATTTCTTATCAAATTTATATCCTATTATATTTTTTTTAACACTATATGTCTTTTCTTTTTTTTTGTTTAAATTTAGTTTTTTGTTAAAAAAATCACATCATCCATATATTAAAAAACATGTAGATTTTTTTTATAATAATTTGAATTTTTAAAAACAAATAGAAATTACTCAAATGATAAATAAATATGAGTATAATTTAAAAGTCGCATATTAGAAATAGAGATGTGTAAATGGTTCAGAAATCATTATGAAAAAACCATAAATGATAAAAAAATTGTAAAAGCAGAAAATTTGATTTATAAACATCTATATTTAATTATTTATAAATATTTTTATTGGATTAAAAATTTAAAAATTTATAAATATTGATTCAGTTATATATAATTGTATATAATTGATTAATATTAAACTTAAACTTCGTTTCAGTCTAAGTCCAGTGAAAACTCTCAGCCATCTCTACAGCTGACATTTGGTGATGCATCTATAGTATTGCCACTTTGTTTGAGAAGGGATTGGTGTACATGAAGGCTACTTTGGTTGAAGTAGTTGCAGAAGCTCTTGCTCTTTGTTTGGCATTAAAAGAAGCAATTTCCTCAGGTGTTACATTGTTACAAGTTTTTCTGAATTTGGATGTCCTCCTTATATTTCCTTTGTTGGGAACGGAATTGAATGAGTTTGCAGGTTTTCAAAGCTTTGTTGTTCTCTTCTTTTCCATATATCTATGCAGTTGTTTTAGTTATTGGTTTCTCAAGTTTTTTTTTTCTATGGACTCTAAATTTCGTTGAATGAAAAAAACATCCAATTGAAAAAAAAATGGATGGAGAGAGAGAGATAATGGGCCGATGAACGGCGAATGATTGAGTCCGACAACATTTATCTGCTTAATTGTTTTTTTAACTCGATAAATAAATGTGGTCATAATTTGTAGAACTGTTCGCACTTGAATTTTGAAATGGAGTTTCAACTTTTTCATAAACACAAAACTAGATAATTTAGACTAGAATTGGGTTAAAAGAGCTGACAATTTGAAGACTCACAGTTCGACAAATTTTATAATCTTCTCATATTATTATTACATGGAAGGCCCGTCACAATAACAATTGCCCTTATACCAAGCATAAACTCCTTGGCCTACTGACTTGCAATGCTCAATGCAAGCTTTGTGACTCATCGTAGCAATTCCGTTAATGGCTACACAATGGTTTTGGACACACTTGAGCTTTTCTTGTTTTCGTTCAATACAATCAGAGTCCTTTGTGCAAGACTGAAGTGCCAAAATCTGAGCACCTGTGATATTTAATCAATATGTTATTAATGATGATGATGTATAATACCCGATGATTGATTGATGATGACGGTATTGATGAATGCAACTAAACAAATGATTGGTGTATAATACAGATGATTGATGATGACTATTGATGAATGCAACTAAAGAAACGCTTAAAACATCTTACATGTTGATAATAGTATAAGACCGATGAATATCAAACATGTTTTCTCCATTTTTCTTGAATAAGTTTGTATTTTCTTTTGCTGTTTTGAGTTGTTTTTATGACTAAAGCTGACGATCCGGAGACTTTTTGTAGTGGTAAGAATGTTTTATTAAGGAATATAATCTGCAAACAATTAATTTCTAGTCATTGTTGACATTAATTTTATACTTATTTTGTCGTTCGCAAAATTGTAATGTATCACTGGATTTACTAGTCAAAGTTTGTATTTTTGTATAACAAAATTTTACACCAAAATCTTTATACATGAAGGTTTAAAATATTAAATCACCTAGTTTGAAATATCCAATTTTGATGGTATAAGAGCATCTGCAAGAATATCTCCATTTTTTTCTTCAAAATAGAGTAATTATAAAATAGAATTGAGTTTTTCTTCAATGTGTACTTTCATTTTTTATTATAAAAAGAATATTTTACATATATTCTATTTTTATTTTATTACCAATACCTTTTATTTCTAAATTAATCTATTTATTTTGTTACTTATCTTAATTTTAGCATTTGTTATCTATTTTTAAATTTATTTTACTTTTCAATCTTTTTGAATAAAAACTGTAGTGTTCAAATATTTATAACTATCTATCTTATATTTTTAACAAACACTAAGTGGTATAAAATAAAATAGTTAATATTTAAAGGCACTGTTTTAAAATCCGACCCAAATCCGCTGGTTCGCCCGGTTAAACCGGGATCCGATCACTTATCTGGATCGATTTTACTCTTCAAATCTGAAATTTATTAACTTGGTAGAATCCAAATAAACCCACGAGTAATTTATGACCCAGTGACCCGTTGACCCGGTTAAACCAATAATTTTATTTTTTAATAAAAAAATCTCTTTAATGTAAATAATCTCTAGTTAAATAATATGTTTTTGTTACTTTGTGACTTTTATCGAGTTTCAAGATTTGTAATTTGTATCAATATTGTGTTATGTTTTGAACAATTTTATGTTATATTTTTTTATATTTAATAGTTTGAATAGTTTATGTTATATTTTTTATATTTAAATCTCTTTTCCTATTTTTAAAACTATATGATATATATTATATAAAAATTATTAGTTAGTTAACCCGCGGTTGATCCGGACCAATCTAAATAAACTCAGAAATCTAATAACCGAATAAACATTCCGGTTTGCTTTCTGGATCGGTTTCAAAACATTGTTTAAATGATTAGTTTACAAATAAAAAAGTTCAACTAGAATTGAATATAAATTTATTCCAAATTTAAGCAATCTCATTTTTTACTCTATTTTTAGAGTTGGAAATGCAGTAGAATTGGAGAGAAATTTATTTCAAAAATGCATTTGGAATAGAAAATGGAGGTTAGAGATGATCTAACAATCTAAGGTTTAAAAATTCATTACATAATAATTTCAACGATATTTTGTTTTTGTCAATGTTGTACTTGTCAACGATGTTTGCCTTATTTTTTTTAGTGAATATCACAAATTAAAACTAGGGTTTAAAACTATACATGGATAAATTCAAAAATATCATTTTTGTGATACTACTTTTCAATGATACTGTTATTTTTTGTCAATTTTCAAAAATACCACATTTTATAAACTTTATAGGGTAGTTATTAAGAGTCTTGTAAGATTTTATAGGATATCTATAAAAATGCATAAATTATTATGTTTTTCATTAAAATAACATTTTATCAGAATTACACAAACTTATATAACAAGAAGTAGAACTTGAACAAAAGGAAACAATTAAATTTTAAAAGATAAGAAATTAAGCATTAAAGTACACGTTGATAATGAATTTTTTTTACAGCATTTGTAATGATTTAAATTAGTTTATAATTTTTTAAAAGACACATTATAAAATGTATAATATTTTTGAAAAACTTTTCCCTTAGTAGTATTTTAGAGATATTAAAAATAGTGTTTCTTAAAATTATCCAAAAAGTATCGTAGTTTCTTAGTGTACCAAAATTTTACATATAAATATTGATATTTTGAAAGAGGGAAGTATCATATGTTTAGTTTACATCTACTTGTTAAAGAAGCAGAGAAACCAGTGGAGCAGCATATGAAAGCGCCAATTATTGCTCCCAACAACTGCACCAATTAACTCGACTGATCAACGCCTTTTAGAGATTTCCATCCTCATATATTGCAGAACACACCAAACTAAACATGAACACACTGCATTTCACATAATAGTAAATTCAACAAACATCATTCATCTATCTATAAGATTACAGATGAATGGTACTACGAATGTAGATTAGAGATAATAAAATAAACAAAGATTGGGACCATTTCTATACCTCACCGATAACTGCAACAAAATGACCCTTAGGCTTCATTTAGGCAACATACTATTAGTATGTCAAATCTATGGTTCAGTTTCCTTTAGCTAAACCATGAGTTTATATATATTGCATATACACTCTTTCACAATTAATGAGAAAATAAACATTCGGTTTAATATGGTATCAGTGCAAAATACGATTTGAGCTTCTTCCTTCGTCGAACCTTTGATTTTTCTCATTCATAGTGTTTTTATTAAACTGAAAAATTAAACCGTCTAATTAGTTTTAGACGGAGGGGTTTACATGTGTTTTGTAAAATCATAAAAGATTTTAATGAAACCCCCCCCAAGTAAAGATAAAATAGAGAATAAATCCCTTATTTATAAAAGTAATGTGAGCTCTTCTTTCTATCTACAATAACGTTAAAATCTATCTTAATATTATATTAAACGTTTTGGATTATTAATGTGGATAATTTTAAAATGATGTGATGAACTTTGTCTAGAAAGTTGATTAAAGAAGACATATCATCAAATTTCCTGTATAATTTAATTTATTCAGAGTTTTGAAAAATTAGAACAATTTTTCAAGTTGTACAAGAAATTTGATATTTTATAAAGTTATTTTATAATCCAAATTATATACATTTGATTTAATATTGATTGTTTAGATTTGAATATATTTGTAGATCGAAAGGGTTTTTTCCATTAGTTTGATAGTTGGAAGATCTATTCTTTATCCATATTTATTTGAGGAGTTTCTTCATTATAATTATTTAGATTTTGTAAAACACATGTCATTTTTTTACAATCCAATACGCAGTTTTAATTTAACGCTGACCGTTAAGATTTTAACAGTATTGTAGCCGGAGGGGTTTTTTCATAAACGGACTTATAGTTGAGGGATTTTTACATTAAATCTATAGTTGAGGGGCTTTTCTTTGATTCATCTTTAGTTGAAGAGTTTTTTCACTAAAAACCCTATAAAATATTCTAGCAATTGTTAACCATAGCAAACAAATTTGAAACTAATTAAATACTGGTTGTTAATTGATAAATGAACAAATAATCATAACTCTGTTGATGTATAAATCTGAGCAATCAAATATTTGTAAATATGAATAATGAGATAATTATATTTATCTTCTTTGATAAATGATTGAATGGTTAATATTTGATAAATAGAAAAAAAAATTGGTGAGTACTATGGATGAAATATAGGTTGATTTTGTATTGAAAATCATAAAAATATGAAATATGAATTTGGTCTATTGGTTTACAAAGATGACCAGCGGAGATAGTGAATCTTGAGACAACAAAGACGACAAAACGACTGAGGATGTCATTCACCCTCTAGAATGAATCGAAACAACAAAAAAGAACAAAATGTCATGTTTCCCTGTTTGTAAACTACTTTATCATCACAACGGTGCTCTTCACCATTGCAAAGTGGCCGAGACATGGTCTTGTTGTGAAGAATAAGAACATCCCTGCCCCAATAATTGAACTGACCAAGTTTCATATACGGGTCTTTCTCAAGAAGACAATCAACATGAACAGTGGTGGAGCAGTAGTCATCGCAAGAATAGAAACCTCCTTTTTTTGAATATACTATTTTGCTTTTGCATATAACACACCAGTCTTGCTTATCATTTCTCTCTTCCATTTTCTGAAATGTGAGGAAATGTTTGTCATGTCTATACCTTGCCTTGTAAGGTAAAGTAGCACATCCAAAACATATGATATAATGGCATTTGATGCAAGCCAGTTTTCGCCAACATTTATATTCATCACCCTCTTTTTGGCATATTTGACATATTGCTGAGTTTTTTTCTTCCAGCGTTAAAGCTAAGAATAAGGGATGCTCATGGCCTTCATATTGAAATGGTTCAGAGACCGAGGCACACCGTAAGTCTAATTCGAAACTCTGCTCTTCTTTGCAACCCTCGTAGACGAAATCACAACTTTGACGTTCACACGCACTGCAGAAGAAGTAACCTATATTGCCAACCTTTAGTGTAAGTGGGCGAGCGTGCAAGGCATGGTGTTTCTTGCGAGGCGCATTGGCACATGCTTCGTGGAGGATGAAGTCGCATTGACCCATACACGAATAATAGCTACGCTCGTAGATTGGAAGGCTGCACGCTTGACATAACTTTCCTTCATCGTAAGCTCCATAGATCTCGAGTTTTAGATGATGGTCATGCGTAAAATGGAGTATCATTCCATCACTTATCCTCTCAAATGGCTCAACAACTATCTCAGGTTCTTGAGGTATTCCCTTTAGTTCTTTCCCATCGCATAAGTCTTTTCTCAATGTGCATTTTGTATGAACAAAATAACCATCACACTTGTTGCAAGAGTAGACACCATAATTGTTGTCCACCTTTCGACGACACACTCGGAAAGACTATTTCCCACATGGAAGAGAGGATCTGAAGGAGATACGGTGGTGGTGACGAGAGATTCAGATGACATAAGGGTGATATACACAATCTTGATGGACTACGAAGACACACCGAGCACAAACATATGTTGGAAAATGTTCTTTAATAAGACCACAAACATCACACGGTAAAAAAATTTGTTTAGGGAAAAATGTGAGAGGGTGAAGATGCCTTTTTAGGTGGTCTATAAAAATGGGTATTGGCTTCATCGCACAAATTTGATCCATAATTAACTTGTTGGTAGGGCAATAATAAATATTTTGAAAGATGGTTTCTTGACAACAGAAGCAATGCCACTTGTTGACACTCTCATCGTCACTAGAATAAAAGTGGTGAAGTTTGAGAGATAGAAAATGATAAGAAGGGTGTTGAATCTCTAAGTGGAGACTATGCATTTTTTTGTGATACTGTCTATCACATGTGGCACATATATAATAACCTGTGCCGGTCATTGAACTCTCTTGCAGCTTGCAACCACACGGCACAATACACACTTATCTCTCTTGCAACTTGCAATTTTACAAAGAACTTAAGGTCCATATTGATTTTAAAATTTGTCCCCGTCAAGTGATATTGCTGAGTTCGAAAACAGAGTTGTAAATAACGACTTACTGTGATTCTGATTGGGCTACCTGTCCTATGACTCGCAAATCGCTTACTGGTTTTATTGTGATGTTAGGAAACTCACCGATCGCATGGAAGACAAAGAAGCAAGACACGGTCTCCTGTTCATCGCGGCTGAAGCAGAATATCTATGTGTTTTACTACACGGGAGTTAAAGTGGAATTGTGAACTACTGACATGTTTTGGTATAGCTCATCCTCAAGCTATGCATCTTCGTTGCGATAATAAAGAAGCTTTGCATATCGTGGTTAATCCGGTTTTTCATGAAAAGACAAAGCATATTGAATCAGATTGCCACTTTTTCCGAGACGAGATTCAGAAAGGGTCACTAACCACTTCTCATGTTCGCACAAATGAGCAATTAGCGGATATTTTTACAAAGGCGTTGGGGTCACAACAATTTACATACTTATGGTGCAAATTAGACATTCGAGATCTTCATGCTCCAACTTAACGGGGAGTATTAGACTAGTATATTTCCACATCTCTAATTATGTTAATATTTCTTAATACTAGATCTGTATCTAGGGTTAGTATACGCCGCCTTGTACATATATATAAACTCATATTTATGGAATAAGATAAACAGAACATTCTTTACTCTTTGTCACACACAAATTTTAAATTCTAATAAACGCTAATCTCTTTGTAAATCTGAAAGACCAATTTTTTTTAACAATAATTACAAAATACAAGTGGATTTTTCTTTAGTTTTGTCGTTTTTCATTTTAAAAGGAATATTTTAAATAAATTCTTCTTTTTCTCTTTTATTATTAATTGCTAATTATATACATTTTCTTTAAAATTTACAAATTAACCCATTACTTTTTAAATAATTTTAAACTTATTATGCTTTATACCCACTATATTTGCATTTTAATTTAAGAGATTAGAGTGTTTTAATATTTATGATTATTAGTTAAAAAATCATCAAAATATTATTTATAAATTTTAAAATAAAAGTATTTACAATTTTAAGGATTGGTTTATAAATATAAAAAATGCAATTGCAAAATGAAATATAAAATGAGATGATTGCATATTTGAAATGAAAATGTTAAATGAAAGTGACAAAGAACTAAAACAGATTTTATTTCCAAAAAACAAATAGCGCCATATTTAAAATAAAACCCTTAGAAAAAGGGGAGAAAGAAAAATGATCTCAAAGCTTATTTGTAAACAAAAGGCGGGTCAGTGTATGAGAACTTGTCACTATAGATAGAAAGAGATATGACCAGCAAAGTAAAATTTTATGCCTGATAAGTTGATTTCTTCTATTAGCTGAAATCGCTAGAAAATCAAATATAAGCTCAAGGAACAATATCTTTGTGATGAACTAATTCAGAGCCACACTCTAATTGTCAATACTGGATGGGAAATCCAACACCAACATATACTGGTTATTATATTTTAGTGATAATAAGCTAAATGTACATGGAGAAGTCAAACAAACGCTATTAGACTAAAATGTAGATACGTTGGTTTGCTATAAACTTCACAAATTTGGATTTAGGATGACAAATTTCTAGTTTCCCTGGAGTCATTAAAAATGAGCGAAAAAGAAAGCAAACAAAAAAGAGGTGTGATATTATCGAAAGAGAAACATATATAGAATATTACAATGCGTTTTAACCAAAACGTAAATAACCAACACCGTAAGATTCTAACTAGCTGTAGTAGCAATGGCCTTTTAAACAATCAAAATAACAAAGTGTCATGTTACTAAGTTTGAAAACTACTTTATCTTCACAACGGTGCTCTGTACCATAGCAAAATGGCCGAGACACGGTATTGTTGTGAAGAATACGAACCTCTCGCCCCAATAAATACGTGATCTGACCAGGTTTCAAATACGGGTGATTCCCAAGCAGACAATGAACATGAACAGTGGTGGAGCAGTAGTCATCGCAAGAATAGAACCCTCCCTTTCTTGAATATACTATTTTACTTTCGCATGTATCACACCAGCCTTGCTCATCATTTCCCGCTTTCTTTTTCCGAAATATTAGGAAATGTTTGTCATGCTTATACCTTGCCTTATACGGTAATGTAGCACATGTAAAACATATGATATAATTGCATTCGATGATCTAAAAATTTGATTCAAACAAAAAAAAGGTGAAATCGAAACGAAAAGAAAAACATATATAAAAAAAAATTACAACTCTGGAATAGCATTACAAAGCGTTTTAACCAAACCCAAAGTAAAAGAAAAAAAATGAGAAAGGATTACAAAGATGGCCACCCGACTTGAGATATTTTACAGACAGAGATAGTATATCTTGAGACAACAAAGACGATAAAACGACAAAGGATGTCATTCACCCTCTAGAATGAATCGAAACAACAAAAAAGAACAAAATGTCATGTTTCCTTGTTTGCAAACTACTTTATCATCACAACGGTGCTTTTCACCATTGCAAAATGGCCGAGGCACAACATCAATTTTTTTTCAAACAAGAAAAAGAACAAAGTATCCTGTTACTAAGTTTGTAAACTACTTTATCTTCACAACAGTGCTCTTTACCATGGCAAAATGGCCGAGACATGGTCTTGTTGTGGAGAATAAGAACATCTCTTCCCCAATAATTGAACTGACCAGGTTTCATATACGGGTCATTCCCAAGAAGACAATCAACATGAACAGTGGTGGAGCAGTAGCCATCGCATGAATAGAAACCTCCCTTTCTTGAATATACTATTTTGCTTTCGCATATATCACACCAGCCTTGCTCATCATTTCCCTCTTCCTTTTTCCGAAATATGAGGAAATGTTTGTCATGTTTATACCTTGCCTTGTACGGTAAAGTAGCACATCTGAAACATATGATATAATTGCATTCGATGCAAGTTAGTTTCCCCCACTCATTATATTCGTCACCCTCTTCTTGGCATACTTGACATATTGCTGATTTTTCCTCTTCCGGCGTTAAAGCTAAAAACAAGGGATGCTTATGGCTTTCATATTGAAATGGTTCAGAGATTGAAGCACACTGTAAGTCTAATTTGAAACCCCAATTTATTTCAGGATCCTCGTAGACGAAACCACAACTTTGACGTTTACAAGCACTGCAGAAGAAGTAACCTATATCGCCAACCTTTAGTGTAAGTGGGCGAGCGTGCAAGGCATGGTGTTTCTTGCGAGGCGCATTGGCACATGCTTCGTGGAGGATGAAGTCGCATCGACGACGCATACACGAATAATAGCTACCCTCGTAGATTGGAAGGCTGCACGCTTGACAAAACTTTCCTTCATTGTAAGCTCCACTGATCTGGAGTCTCATATGATGGCCATGAGCAAAATGGAGTATTATTCCATCACTTATCCTCTCAAATGGCTCAACAACTATCTCAGGTTCTTCAGGTGTTCCCTCTAGTTCTTTCCCATCCCATAAGTCTTCTTGCAGTGCGCATTTTGTATGAACAAAATAATCATCACACTTATTGCAAGAGTAGGCGCCATAATTGTTGTCGACCTTTCGACGACACACTCCGCAAGACCATTTTCCGGAAGGAAGAGAGGAGGTGGAGATACGGTGGTGGTGACGAGAGATAATCTTTATGGACCACAAAGACACACCGAGCACAAACATAGGTGGGAGAATGTTCTCTAATAAGGCCACAAACGCCACACGGTAAGAAATTTTGTTTAGGGAAAATGGTGAGAGTGTGAAGATGCCTTTTTGGATGGTCTATAAAAATGGGTATTGGCTTCATCGCACAAACTGGATCCATAATTAACTTGTTGGTAGGGCAATAATAAAGTTGTTGTAAGATGGTTTCTTGACAACAGAAGCACTGCCACTTGTTGACACTCTCATCGTCACTAGGATAAAAGTGATGAAGTTTGAGAGATAGAAAAGGGTAAGAAGGGTGTTGGATCTCAAGTGGACACTCTATGCATTCTTTGTGGAACTTTCTATCACATGTGGCACATATATAATAACATGTGCCGATCATTGAACTATAGCATAAACCGCAACGAAAATCTTCATAATCTGGCATACACTCTTTATTGTTGCACCAAAAGAGAGGGAGGAGTATTGAAGTTAAACTTGATTTTGGGTTAAGCTTAATTTTGGGTTTATAAAATAATTATTAGTTATTAGATTAGGCCCAAAATTAAGCTCAAGTTCTAGAATCTCTAGAAACATCACTAAAAATCATCATCTTTCTTAAATGTTCTAGAGAATTCTATTAGTTAAATATCTAGATAATTCTAGATGTTGTAGTTAAAATTCTAGATATTATTGTAGAAAATTCTAGAGATTAGGAGAATGTTTGTAAGATATTTTGTAATAAGTGGAGCCTATAAATAGCCCACTACTCCATCATTTGTAAACAAGAGAAGTTGAACAAATAAAGAAAGAGTGTTCTTCATAAGTTCTCTTATTCTCTCTAAAGTTCCTTCAAGTTTTCTCTAAGTATTCTTTCATCTTATTATTCATACTTAGAGGGTCTTTGTTTCTTTCGGATCTCTCGGGTATTACGGTCTTGGGCTAGTGCTTGACACTATCGGTGTTTTCTTTACATTAGGCCCAAAATTAAGCTCAAGTTCTAGAATCTCTAGAAACATCACTAAAAATCATCATCTTTCTTAAATGTTCTAGAGAATTCTATTAGTTAAATATCTAGATAATTCTATAGATAATTCTAGATGTTGTAGTTAAAATTCTAGATATTATTGTAGAAAATTCTAGAGATTAGGAGAATGTTTGTAAGATATTTTGTAATAAGTGGAGCCTATAAATAGCCCACTACTCCATCATTTGTAAACAAGAGAAGTTGAACAAATAAAGAAAGAGCGTTCTTCATAAGTTCTCTTATTCTCTCTAAAGTTCCTTCAAGTTTTCTCTAAGTATTCTTTCATCTTATTATTCATACTTAGAGGGTCTTTGTTTCTTTCGGATCTCTCGGGTATTACGGTCTTGGGCTAGTGCTTGGCACTATCGGTGTTTTCTTTACATGGTATCAGAGCCATTCTGATCTGGTTCTTTTTCAAGATCGGATTAATTGAGATCTCAGATTTACTCTAAGTATGGAGTCAATGGGTCGCGTTGTTGGGTTGGGAATGGAGATTCTAAACCAATCCAATTACCGGTTATGGAAGTCATGCATGGAGTCATACTTGGTGAGTGAGGACTTATGGGATGTCGTCGGCGGCAGTAGCACAACACCACCAAGGGGAGCTGCTGCGACAGCGGAAGCGACAAAGGAGTGGACACGGAAGAATGCCAAGGCGGAGTTTGCATTGAAGAGGTCAATATCCTCGGGAGTCTTTGAGCATGTCTCAAGTTGCACATCCGCTAGTTCCATTTGGCAGGCGTTAGATCAGTTGTTCAACAAGAAGAATGAAGCTCGGCTACAACTGTTAGAGAACGAGTTGGCGAATGCAAAGCAGGGGGAGTCTTCAATCTCAGAGTTTTTTCATCAAGGTAAAGAATCTTCGCTCAGAGATTAATACTCTAAATCCGGAGGAGTCAATTTCCGAAGCACGTTTAAAACGGTATATTATTCGAGGTCTACGACCTGAGTATACACCGTTTGTGACTTCGGTTCAAGGATGGGCTACACAACCTTCCTTGGAGGAGTTCGAGAACCTGCTAGCTTCGCAAGAGTCATTAGCTACGCAAATGGCAGGAGTCAAAATCCATGATGACTCGGGGAGCGCCTTTGTAGCTCGGAAGCAACACAACTTCAAAGCCAAATCCAAATACGATGGTGCAAAGAACATCGATGGACCGGAAGGATCTTCTACTGGAGATAAGAAGCGATTCAAGTGCTATCGGTGTGGAAAGCTTGGGCACTTCAAAAAGGATTGTCGAGTCAAGCTGAAGGAGACAAATATGGCAGAATCAAAAGGTCATATTGAAGACGAAGAATGGGGGAAATGCTTCACGGTGGAGGCTGCATCTTCAGGTATATCCACAACTAAAAATCTTGAAAATGATTGGATTGTGGATTCGGGTTGTAGCCACCATATTACCGGAGACGAGAAGCTATTTTCTAGTCTTCAGCGCCATGATGGAAAAGAAGCCATAATTACCGCGGATAATTCAGTTCACCGGGTCGAGAAGGAAGGAACTGTTGTCATTGAAGGAGAAGATGGAAGCCCTATCACCCTCAAGAATGTATACCATGTCCCTGGAGTAAGGAAGAATCTTCTCTCTGTGGTGAATGCAGTAGACTCAGGTAACTACGTTTTATTTGGCCCAAGAGACGTCAAATTCTTGAAGAATATTAAAGAGTTAAAGGCGGATGTGGTTCACACCGGATCGCGGGTTAAGGATCTATATGTCTTATCTGCGTCCAACTCATACGTGGAGAAGATGAGTACAAACGACAATGCCTCTATATGGCATGCTCGGCTTGGTCATATAAACATGACTAAGCTAAAGGTTATGGTGAATAAGGAGTTGGTAAATGGGCTTCCGAAGCTGAAGATCCAAGATGAAGGAAAGCTTTGTGAAGGTTGTCAATATGGAAAATCACATAGACTTCCATTTGACAATTCTACTTCACGGTGCAGTGCTCTGTTGGAGAGGATTCATAGTGATTTGATGGGTCCTACAAGAACACCCTCATATTCCGGGTTTCGGTACATGTTGCTGTTCATTGATGACTTCTCACGGCACACTTGGGTATACTTTGTGAAGGAAAAATCAGAAGTATTCTCCAAATTTCAAGAATTCAAGGTTACCGTGGAAGGGGAGCTGGGTCGGAGAATCAAGACCTTAAGGACAGATAATGGAGGGGAGTTCATGTCCAAGGAGTTTCTCTCTTTTTGTCAAAAGCATGGAATAAAGAGAGAGTTTACTTGTCTGTATACACCTCAACAAAATGGAGTAGCGGAAAGGAAGATTCGACATCTAACTGAGACGTGCAGAAGCTGGCTATATGGGAAGGATCTGCCTAAAGCCTTGTGGGCGAAAGGCATGAGATGTGCAGTGTACATCATAAATCGGATGCCACTCAGCCCAAATAACATGAAGTCTCCGTATGAGATGATTCATGGGAAGAAGCCGTCAGTGAAACATCTCAGGATATTTGGATCAGTCTGCTACGTCCATGTGTTTGATTCTCAAAGAACCAAGTTGGAGGCAAAGGCGAAGAAGTGCATCTTCGTTGGCTATGACGAACAAAGAAAAGGGTGGAGGTGTATGGATCCAGAGACACACAGGTACGTAGTGTCTCGAGATGTTGTTTTTGATGAAGTTTCCTCATTCTATGGGCCACCTCAAGTTTTAGTTGAGCAAGAAGGTGGGAGTTCCTCCAAGAGTGATAAACCAGCTCTGAGTAAGGAAAAAGGTCCTGAAGAAGAGATGCAAGGTGAAAGGGGGAGCACTGATCAAGAGGAGGATGAGGAGGAACATCATGGTTCCACGGCTAGTCAAAGGCCTAAAAGGGACATCATTAAACCTGCTCGGTTCAGAGATCCAAAGTTTGTTACTACCTTCTCGTGCTACTTTGCAGCTCCATTAGATGAAGATGAGCCAACATCTTATGATGAAGCAAAAGGTGTTGACGAGTGGGAAAACGCAATGAAGGAGGAGATGAATGCTCTCATGAAGAACGAAACTTGGGATTTGGTTCCAAAACCCAAGAATGCCCAACCTGTTTCTTTGTAAATGGGTGTACCGGATCAAGCGCAAAACAGATGGAAGCGTTGATAGATTCAAAGCAAGGTTGGTTGCTCGGGGATTCTCTCAAAAGTATGGAGAAGACTATGATGAGACCTTCAGCCCTGTAGCCAAGATGACTACGGTACGTTCTCTCTTATCTTTGGCTGCAAGTTTTGGTTGGAAGTTATGGCAATTAGACGTGAAGAATGCTTTTCTATATGGAGAGCTTGACAAGGAAATCCTGATGGAGCAGCAACTTGGTTTTATATCACGAGAGCATCCTGATTATGTGTGTAAGCTGAAGAAGGCCTTGTATGGGTTAAAACAAGCTCCACGAGCCTGGTATGGAAAGCTTGCTCAGTTTCTTCAGTTCTGCGGTTATGTGGCATCAAACTCTGATCCGAGTCTATTCTTCAAGAAGAATAGAGGAGTCCACGTGGTAGTTCTCCTTTACGTGGATGATATGATAATTACCGGGAATGATGAAGCAGAAATTACTCGATTACAAGAGGATATGTCGATAAGGTTTGAGATGAAGAAGTTGGGAGAGCTCAACAACTTTCTCGGTTTGGAGGTGGAAAGGGTAAAGGGTGGAATATTCATCGGCCAACAAAGCTATGCAAGAAGAATCGTTGAGAAGTTTGGAGTACACGAAGGAAAGACACGCTCTACTCCAATGGATGTCAACATAAAGCTTAAACGCGATGAAGGGTCCTTACTACCTGATCCTCGGCCTTATCGCTCTCTTGTAGGAAGTCTTTTATACTTAACCATTACAAGACCTGACATTGCCTTCGCGGTAGGTCTTGTAAGTCGGTTTATGCAGGCACCAAGGAAGCCACATCTAGAAGCGGCAAAGAAGATATTGAAGTATGTGAAGACAACTCTTGGCATGGGTCTGGTGTACAAGTATAATGCCAAGGTCTCTCTTTATGGCTTCACGGATGCTGACTTTGGTGGAGATCTTGATGATCGGAAATCAACTTCAGGCTATGTGTTTTCCTATGTGGGAACACAAGTGTCTCATGGTGCAGTAAGAAGCAAGCAACGGTGTCGTTATCTACAACTGAAGCAGAGTATAAAGCGTCAACTCTAGCAGCTCAAGAGTGTATTTGGCTTCAGAGACTCCTTGAAGATCTGTTCGAGCCAATCAATAAGCCAATTGCAATTTATGGAGATAATCAAAGTGCGATCAAGCTGGCTAATAATCCGGTGTTCCATGGGAGGACTAAACACATTGAGTTAGAGCATCACTTCATAAAAGAGAAGGTGCTTGATGGGACAATTGAAGCTTTGGAAGTTCGAAGCGAGGACAACGTTGCGGATATCTTCACCAAGTCATTACCAAAAGGTCAGTTCGAGTTACTTCGCTCGAAGCTCGGGATGACTGACAAAATCAAGTTTAAAGGAGAGTATTGAAGTTAAACTTGATTTTGGGTTAAGCTTAATTTTGGGTTTATAAAATAATTATTAGTTATTAGATTAGGCCCAAAATTAAGCTCAAGTTCTAGAATCTCTAGAAACATCACTAAAAATCATCATCTTTCTTAAATGTTCTAGAGAATTCTATTAGTTAAATATCTAGATAATTCTATAGATAATTCTAGATGTTGTAGTTAAAATTCTAGATATTATTGTAGAAAATTCTAGAGATTAGGAGAATGTTTGTAAGATATTTTGTAATAAGTGGAGCCTATAAATAGCCCACTACTCCATCATTTGTAAACAAGAGAAGTTGAACAAATAAAGAAAGAGTGTTCTTCATAAGTTCTCTTATTCTCTCTAAAGTTCTTTCAAGTTTTCTCTAAGTATTCTTTCATCTTATTATTCATACTTAGAGGGTCTTTGTTTCTTTCGGATCTCTCGGGTATTACGGTCTTGGGCTAGTGCTTGGCACTATCGGTGTTTTCTTTACAAGGAGAGGGAGCTTACAAGTATGCTTGTAGACGTAGGATCCAATCAAAAACTGGAATTGTTGATCACCGCTTCTTTCGTTAAACAAGTAAGGATAAGGAAAATCATCCACCAGGAGTAAGTCATTGCCATCATGACCGTTCCACATTATCATACGCCATTCTTCACTCCAGCGAAAAGAAAGACATACGTAAAGAGGAGGGAAGTCATCGGAGCTTGTGGTGTCCGTTTCTGATAAGAAGTTGAATATGTGAAATGGTTTTCCATTGATTTCTCCCTCCCGAAATCCACAGACCGGAGTCATTGATTTCTCTTCTCTTTCTCCACTGGAATGGGTGGTTATTTCATCGGATACTGAGGAAGAAGAGGTTTGAGATTTTCCATCGCTTTCTTTCTCACAAATTTCACCGACAGAATTCATTGTCCGAATTAATATTTTATTAATTTATAAATATATTTTTAGTTTAAATTTTTAATATTCATCAAAAAATAAAATTAATATTTTTAACAATATAAAATCCATTCAAAAAATATCATAATAATGAATTTTGAAAATAAATCAAACAAATTTTATAAACTTGAAACATCGATATTATCATAGTTTACTATATTATATTATTAATATATGCCCAAATATACAATTATAAATTTATATTATTATTGAAACCATATTTTTACATAGAGCTTTCAAAAAAAATATTATCTTATTATATTATCGAATTTTCTCAATTTTTACATTAGCCCAACTTGGGACCGATAAAAATTATTAATTTATAGTGCTAATTAATTTATCGAATATTAATTTATAGAGATTTTACTGTATATAGAACAAAAACTTAGATTATGTGCATCTGAGAGAATTTCTCTAATATTTTTATAATTTATAAAAACATCATAAGAGGGAAATAAGCATTTTATACGGTTTCGATGGTTTTAGCTTTTATTTTTATTTTTATTTTGTTGAATATTCTTATTTTAGTGACTCAAGTTAAAGATGACGTGACTCACAAGGTAGAACAGGTTAAAGATAACTTATCCGGAGATAACAAGCACGATGATGAACAACTACCCTAACGTGGGGGACAATGTTGAGAAGGCTAAAGACTCGAAGTGGCTAAACGCAAAGCAGGAGACGCTAAGGAGAGGTGGAACAAAACGGGTGAGGCGGCTTAGGAAAAGGCAAGCCATTACAATTGATAACTGTTCCACTTTGGTGACTATTTTTTTTTTGGTGAAAAATTTATTAAAACCTCAACCCCAATTACACTAGCACATTACGTGCTCTTGAAGACTCCTCCATGTCTTCTAACAATATCGACCTAACATCATCCGAAGGCATATCAAAAGAACGAAAACCAACGGGAAAAGAGAAAGCGAAGTTGGCTAAACTATCTGCTAGCCTATTCGCCTCCCGATAAACATGAAAGACCCGGACCAGCCAGTCTCTTGACATAAAGCCGTAGCACAAACGTGCCAAGAACGAAAGAGGATGCACATCACTAATCCCCTCCATTAAGAATCCCATCATTATCTTAGAGTCAACTTCAAGCTCCACCCGAGTGGCTCTGCCTTCCCACGCCATGAACAACCCATAATAAACTCCCCAGAGTTCCGCTAGAGGAGCAGAGCAAATCCCAATGTTTAGTGAAAAGCCTCCACACCAATTGCCAAACTCATCTCGCAAGACTCCACCTGCTGTAGCCTTTCCTGGGTTCCCATGCGATGCTCCATCCATATTAAGCTTCAACCATCCACAAGACGGAGGCTTCCAGGAAATGAGTCTCTCCACCCGCACTGCTGGGCAGGTATTTCCTCGGAGATTAGAGTGTGCCACCGTCACCTCATTTGCGAGGTCCTTGATAAATCACACTCTATCCCTGCATCTTCCAGAACCGCCAAAGACATTAATGCGTCTCCATTTTCACCTCCACCAAACACCCATTGCAAAGAGGGTTGACCACGGAGATCCTGATTCATCCAAGTTATCTCCTAAGTTATCATATGCCCACTCCAGTAGAGATTTCTCAAAGAACTGCCTTCGCTTCCTCCGAGGAACCACTCGATTCGATATCCCTGCCATTGCTGAGCGATCCCGCAGGACATATAGAATAGACTCATCCCCACCTTTACATACCTGATAGACTCCTGAGTCACTAAGATGTCTCCTCTATCTCTCCAGATTTGTCATAATAGCCTGATGTATTACCAACCACAAGAACACCTTAACCCTCTCTGGAACCACGACATGCCATACACGATCAAACAGGCTCTGCATATTTTGTCGATGAGGCAATTGACGAGTCAGAAAAGAGTATGCTGACTTCGCAGTGAAGCTTCCGTCTTGAGTTTCCCCCATAAGATTCTATCTCTAGCACCAGTCACATTATCTATCACCACTGCAGAGAGTTGCATAATAAAGTGAGCTGAGATGTATGGGGTAATAACTGGTAATAGCCAGCCAGTCCCGTTTCTCCATAGTTCCCGAGCTTTGAGATCGACTAACTCCTCTGAAATCTTGCTCGTGGCCATATCTAATAATGGAACATTCAGAAGCTATTTATCTAGCCAGAATCGGATTTTACGGCCATCACCTATGATCCATCTCAACCCCCGAATCACTACATCCCTCACTCCGTCCACAACGCTTCGCTAAGTAGAGGACCAGTTCCCTTTTCTCCTTAACCATGACGTATCACTTAGGTCTGTAACCTTATACTTGCTACGTAGTATGTTAGCCCAGAGGCTAGAATGGTCATGGAGAAGCCTCCATCCCAGCTTTGCGAGTAGAGCTTTATTTGTATCATGAGCCAGACAGATACCCAAACCCCCATCACGCTTTGGTTGACAAACCCTTTTCCATGAGATAAGATGTTGCTTCTTCTTCTTAGTTATATCCCCCCACAAGGAGCGTGATATTCTATCTAGACGATTGAGTTGCTCTAAGTAGTTGTATGGTGCTCATGGTGTGGATGGGGATCGACGACAGGACTGATTTAGTTAGTGTAATCCTTCTTGCAAGACTCAACAAACTTCCTTTCCACCCCGTTAACCGCGATGAAACTCTCTCAAGGATTTCTCCAAATGTATCCTTGTTAATCTGCCTTGAAAGTAGGGACATCCCCAAATATTTACCAAAATCTCGTGTAGACTGTATTCCACTTTCTCCACTTTGGTGACTATTATTAGTTCATGTTGGATGTAAGAATCTACATTGTTTGATTTCTAGAAAAGAGAGAGAGAGAGAGATGTAGATTCACACAAAGTGCAACACATTCTAGAAAAAAAATCTATGGTCCAAGAACACTAAAAAAATATGGAATCATTCTGCTTTGCTCTGCTCTTGTAATGCCTCTGTCTCAAACAGAGAACTCCATATCTCAGCTAAGTAAGATCCGATCACTGATCTCCCGAATCTACTATCCGCATTGACCCTCTTCATAAGCTTCCTTCTGAGAAACCCATCAAACCTCTCTGACTTCGAAAACGATTCATAATCTGCAGAAACCGATCTGTATAACCGTTGCTTCATCTCTGCTAGCCTCAGCTCTATCTTCATCAACACTTTTTCGAAATCAACAAACAGAGAATCCACATAAGAAACCTCGAGTCTTTCACTTTTGTTGCGTCTCAGAGCGCAAACAATCTTTCCCAAGATTTGGATTGCATCTACGCAGAGCGGAATGTAATCATCAAACCTAACAGATTCAGGGAGGTCCACACTATGGTGCTCCTTGTTCTCCTTCTTCCTAATCACCACCTCAAAGACTTTCTCGAGCTTTCTCATGACTACACTTGTAGTACCCTTATCATCATCTTCATTGACCCCAAATCGCCTTAGACAGATCCAGAAGTCTTCGATTTCGATAGCAAGAAGCTCATTAGGTATCAAAAACATATATTCCGCCACAAGAAACGAGAACTCCGCTCCACAACTAACAGCTTTACCTCTCCTCTTCTTTAGATTCTCATCTCGTTCCTTCAGTTTCTCAATCAAATACAACCGTCTCGCATACCCGGAGCAATCACGTTTAGTCACGCTTGGTTCTTGTACACTCCTCTCCAGTGTCACCTTCACTGGACTCTTCTTCTTAGTATCTCTTCTCTCTTCCTTCTTCTCTTCTGCAACTCCGGTTTCCACTTCAGGCTCTCCGTTAGTGATCCATGAAGAAATCACCTTCTCTTCCTCCTCAGCTTTCTCTCTCAGTATATTTCTTACGAAACCCTCAAGAAAATCTCCAAAGTCATAATCGTCTTTGATCCGCTCCAAGTAACTTCCATCTTCCTCAATCTTTTCTAACAACTCCTCGATAACCTCATCAATGCCACCACCTTCTTCTGCATTATTCACCTGTTCGTTTTCATCAAATTTTTCGAGATTGTCACCACCATCTTCTGGTTTGCACACAGAATCTTCGGTGGAGATATCGGATTCAAGGTCACCCCTAGAGATCCATTCTAAAACCTCATCCGCAAGATACTTAACTTCTTCATGTGGTTCTTCTACTTTCCCTTCTTCTACACAATCGGAACTACGACCACGAGGCACAAACCGATCACTCGTTTGAACCTTATTCTCCATTTCAGATCTCAGAACCTTTAGTTCCTGATTGAAAATGTCGACCAAATCTGAACGGGTTAGGGTTTGTGATACCGTAAGAGCGAAGTCAATTGGTGTCTTCGTTGATCCTCCTCTTCTGGTCTTCTTCAACTCTTCGTTCATCCTCTGCAGAATCGCTGGGTTCTCTTCTTCATCAATGTCGGCGAGAGTTGTTGTAAAAATCGAAAATTCAGAGCTCAAACTCTTCTGCTCCTGCAATATCGTTGGACTCTGTTCAATATCAGCGAGAATAGTTGAAAAGATTGAAGATTCAGCACTCGTCATCTTCTCTCCGCATCAAAATCTTCTTCTTCTTTGGTTTCTTTAATCTTTGTTCTTTCTGGTTACACCAACCACATAAACAGAGTGAGAGAGAGAGAGAAAGGTAGGAGAGAGAGAGCCTTTCTAAATGCCTGAAGCGTGTGTGTCTAATCGCGCAAGCAGAGTTTTTTATACGACAAGCCAATGTTTTTCGGATTGATTCAACAAATCTCTCTGTTTCTTTATCGAACGCAAACAGAAATTCACCGTATCGCTCATCTCGCAGAGTACAATAACTCTCACAGGCATTTCGTCGAACACGTTCGGTGCTTCGTCGATTAACCCGAGTTCGACTCACATGGGGAAAAGTTTTACACTTTAGAAATTCCCTTCCCTCGAGCCGTCTCATCATTTGGTTCTCTAACTGATGAATTTCAAAACTTTCCACCAAAAGAAGCTGAATCGTTGAGAAATTCGCCATCCCCTAAAAGCCTTAATAAATGTAAACAGTGTTCCAAAAGGTCGCAAACAAAACGGTCTTGGCTTTATTTTTCAGTTTTTTTAGATATTTACTGTAAGATATAGATAAAAAATTTGATAATAATTTAAGTTAATTATATTTATAAGAAAATATATTTAGACTTCCACGAAAAAAATCGTATGAAAATACTAAATTGTAAATTGCATAATTTTATACAGCTGATATTGATTTTTTTCGGAGCTAGTTTAGATTTTCTTTTGTAGAATCTGAAGACATATTTAATCGGTGTTTTGTATTACATTGTTTAAATTTTCATTTGGTATTTTGTATTACGTTAAGTTCTAATTTTTTTTTATAATTGTTATTTGTATCACGTATTTATTCGGTGTTTTGTTCCACGAATCATTTGAATTTCATAAAAAAACTTTTTTGTTTATTCACGTATTTACAGTTTTTTTTGGGGGTCAACACGTAATTACCATTACAAATAAACTTTTCTATTTTCTTAAAGTTGGATTATACAAAATCTTTTGTAAAATCTTGAATTTCCATATTTTGTTAAAAACTAAGATATTTTTTTCCATTGAACCAATTTACCTTTTTAACCATTCCACATATATATAAAGTTAAACCGATTCCATCCCATCCACACTGGTTGATTTTGACGGAGAGAGAAGCCATGAATAGAGACTGGAGAAGAGAGCCGAGGATGCCGAGGATGTACCGTGAATTCTCCCCGGAGATGGATCTCTCAGATTTCTCGATGCCGATGCCGATGCCGATGGAAGTCGATCATGACTTTGAATCCGCCGACATGTACGACGACGGCGATGAAGGAGTGCGTTTCTCATTCCCGTCGAAGCTCCCATCCATCGATTTCTTCAACTGCTTCGAGGATGATTTCGACGATTCCGATATCAACTGATTCCGTCTCCTCGTCTCCTTTTTCTTCTCACCTTTTTTGTCTTTTAGGGTTAATTTTTCAATTTTTTTTTTCTTTCCTAAGTTTTATCTCTCTCGATTTTTCGATCAGTATTTTTATTGCCTTTGTAATCAGCAACTGATCAAACCACATCGTTCAGTTACAGCTTATTTTTCTGTGTTGATTGCTCCTTAATTCACCTTTTTGTGTGTTAAAAGCTCCTAAATTCACTTTGAAAAAGAAAAAAAACAAATATATACAGTACCAACTCTTTTCTAATAATCAAAACTAAATAAAATTTGGTTCTATATTATCAAATATTACGGTTCATTATTTTGTTCATATTTTAGAGAAGCACATTTACGACAAATTAGCTATGATTATGATTATGAATGTTGATCCGCTATACTCAGCTTTGTACCAATTACCAATTACATCGAACCGGATTGGATTGGTTCGTTGATCGGTTAAGATGAAATCATATACATCAAATGAAAAACTCTGCGTTGGGTATACCACAAATCCCCAAGGCATTTTCTTGGCGGAGAGACATGACCTCTGTGTTTTCCCGTGGTTTGGTCCCTTCTTCTTCTTCTTCTTCTTCTTCTTCTTCGGTGTCTCTCTCTTTTACCAACCGTCCTCCTCTTAGGTTGGTTCTGATCCTTCTTCTTTCTCTCATCATTCTCTTCTTTGGCATTTGTGAATTTCTCAGGGTTTCTTCTTGTATGCATCAAGGTACGCCGTGCTTGGTGCGGGTTTTGCAGGAATCTCTGTAGCGTGGCACCTCCTTAATGTACTTGTTGCTTAGTCTCCCTGAATCTCCTCCACTTCAATACGACTTTGGTCCAAAGACTGTTTCTTTTTGCAGGACAGTCCAAAGGATCTGAGATTAAGTGTCGATGTATACGATGAAATTGGCATCGGAGGTGGTGCTTCTGGAGTTTCTGGAGGCCTTCTCCACCCTTATTCTCCTAAAGGTAATTGAAAAATTTCTCCTTTTTGGTTACTCTGAATTTTCAAATCTTTAGTTTCACAAGACTTTTGACTTTATGTAGGGAAACTACTTTGGCATGGCGCTGAGTGTTGGAGAGAATGTTTAGAGCTCTTAAATGTTGCTGAGTCATCTTCTTCTTCTTCTTCCAGTTACACATCTGCTACGGAGAAGGGAGACACTAACGAGAGTTTCGGAAATTTTATGGTTCGAAGAAGGTACACTCTCAATAACTTTAACTTTCTTTCTCGTCTTATTGAAGTAAGGATTCATTAGAAATGTTAGACTTCTGATTGTATTGTTGACTCTTTACATTGATCAACTTCTTCTTCTTCTTCCTTGCTCCAGGGGAATCTTGAGACCAGCAACAAATGCCAAGACTTTGGATTTAATGAGTGATGTAAGCTCTCTCTCTCTTCGACTCAGATAAACCACTCATTGATATTTAGACTAAACCCATTTGCTGTTTTACTGTTTGCTTACTTATGCCATTAGAATGCTCGAAACTGCCTTGCCAGTTGTGTAGTAGAGACTATTGACAATGATGTTGCCCAAGACCTTGTTCCCAATCTTTGCTTGCCTTTGAACCGCGCCTTCTACTATCCAGGAGCTATGAATGTTAATCCGCAGCGATATCTCCAGGTTCGGAGAAACATAAAAGATAACACTTTCTGAAAATTTTCTGTTGGGACCAAGCTTTTGCGTTTATCTTTACTCAGTTTTGTACTCCCTTCCTGTAGTCACTCTTTCTAGCATGCCAGAACTCAGCAAAAGCATCACTTGGAAGGCAAAACATAACTTTGGTGAAGAAATCTATAAATGATGTGCTCGAACTTGAAGGTGAATGGTTTTCTCATTCTTTGCTCTTACTATATGGAACAATATTCTTAACCACTTGTATGGAAACATCCTTGAAAGACAAGCTGTTTGTCCATTTGGATCAAAAGTTTCAGTCAGAAAACGTTCGTCTTGTCCCCTAAACTGACGCAACAAAACTTATTTCTAGATGATTATGGTGTGAAAAAACTTTATGTTTATCCATGTAAGAGTAGATATTTAGTCAGGGATTTAGTATGAACAGCTTTGGTGTTGTTTATCTGCAGGAGAATACGATGCAGTTGTAATATGTCTTGGATCCAAAGTAGACTTTCTTCCTGGGCTTACCGGGAAGCTCCCATTGAGGACATGCCGAGGTGTCATTACTCATCTGCAGTTACACGAGAGTGCGAGGTAACTCTTCTCTGTGCTCAGTAACCTTTTCAAGGACTGTAGAGATCTTGAGCCTATAGTTTACTTTACATGTCTTATATTCATTGGTTTACTCGCAGTGGAAGTTACCCGGAAGGTGGACCTTCGATCTTATCAGATGCATGGCTTGCTGTTCAGGGACCTCGTGATCTACACATGGGATCCACATGGGAATGGCAATCAAGAAACTACTCATCGGATGTCTCAGCAGAGGAAGCTTCAAGGGCTCTCGCCGAGCTTCTTCCGAAGGCGAGTGCAGTTTATCCAGAGATAGAGAAGTGGGAGCTTGCAGGAGCAAGGGCCGGTCTGAGAGCAATGCCACCTGTCACGAGCCACGGTTCACTGCCGCTCTTGGGATGTGTAGATCAGCTCATAGGAGGTGGATCTTGCAAGTTCTGGGTGTTTGGAGGGCTCGGATCAAGGGGACTACTCTATCATGGATGGCTTGGGAAACTCATGGCTAAAGCTGTTTTATCTTGCAATGAAGAACTAATTCCTTCTGAACTAACTTCTTGGAAGAGAAAAACAGTCACTCACTGAACTTGTGTAAGAATCAATTTTTTGTTACAAGTCCAAGAAGAGAAGTTTTGAATCATTTTCTCTCTCTAAAAGTATCATTAAATCATGAACACAAGATGATGTGAAGTTACAAGTATCAGATTCTGACAATCAGTTCCACTTTGAAGCTCAAACAAAGCTTGAGAAAGCTGAGGAGTCATCTTGCAGAAGACCTTGTGGTTCTCCTTGTTCAACCAGGATTCCGCGATCAAGGATCAGGATGCTGTCCAAATCAAGAACCGTTGAGATGCGGTGAGCGATGGTAATGACTGTTACGCCTTTACACTCGCTCGAAATTGCGTTGTGCAGTAAGGAAGCTGTGTGAGAGATATGTGGTTGAGCGCAGGAGAAAAACGGCAAGAAGTTTAGTTACAATAGACGGAAACAAATATATATAAAAAAAAACAGCCAACCACATAAAGCCTATCTCTCTCTCCTGCTTCGAACCAACGGTTAAAACCACTCATTCCCTCTTCTCTCTCTCTCTCTCATTCTCATTCTCATTTTCATTTGTATCGAAGAAGGATAAAAATGGCGGTTCATATTCACAACCCTAACTTTTACCACACTAATAAACTCCGATCATCTCTTACCTCGGCCTCTGCATCACCTGCTTCATATGTCTTCTCCAGATACTCTCCTGCAAAATCTCCCGGATTCATCTGCAAATCCAATAACCAAGATGTATTCTTCTTAGAAACTCAATATACTAAAACCTTGACAACTACCTAAATCGTTGCTTCTTCTTCTAACAGGACTATCTCATTGATGCTCCTGTTTCTGTCGGAGACGGCTTCTCTTTCAGTGGAGGTTTGTTTATATTATATAAATTATAACCATTTTCTTTTCATAAATTTCCCTTTTGTTTGTTGGGTATAATTGGAAAAATCTTGTTTTGTTTTCCACAGGGAAGTATTCGGATCAACCAAGTCCATCAGATGAATGGTTGAAGCAAGGAAAATGGGTAAGAAAAGGTTTCCTCTTAACTACATAGTTTTCGAATTAAACGTTGTGATTCTAATTTTTTTGTTTTTTTCAGGTTAAAGCTCATAAAGTTGGTGGATCCGGTGTAGAAGCTAAAGATCCGATTTTCGGATTAACAATGGGAGCTAGCTCTCAAGCTTCAAAAGATGTTTTCAGGTGACGATTCCAAATTCTTTTCTTGCAGTAACTTGTTTTAAGGGTCTATATGTATATGATTTTCTTCTTTCTATAGATGGTTTTGTGTAGAATCAGGGAATGTAGATAGTCCTCCTGTTATACTGATCCATGGATTCCCATCTCAGGTAAATACTATTCCTTCAAACTCATCTTCTTACTCCAAAAATAAAACTTACTGATGTTTGAGCATTTTTCTTGTGACTAGTCTTACTCTTACCGCAAAGCTCTTCCCGTGCTTTCAAAGAATTACCGCGCCATTGCTTTTGATTGGCTAGGATTTGGATTCTCTGACAAGCCTCAGGCCGGATATGGATTCAACTATACACTAGACGGTAACAAAATTCTTGAAACCTGGTTGTGAACCCGAGAGAGTTTCAAGATTTATTAGACCAATTTTGTGGCATTTTGCAGAGTATGTTTCGTCGCTTGAGTCATTCATTGATGAAGTAACTACCAGTAAGGTGTCACTTGTTGTGCAGGTAACCTAATTTCTGACTGAAGAAGCAATGTTTGTGATTTGTTTAGTGTTTTTAACTTGTCTTGTTTGGTGTTTTCGTTAGGGCTACTTCTCAACTGCTGCGGTGAAATACGCAAGAAACCGACCAGAGAAGATCAAGAATCTCATACTCTTGAATCCTCCTGTAAGGAAAGAAGCTAGAAAAAAATTAACCACTCTCTTCTCATTCTTTCAATCTAACTTAGAGCCTGTTTTGTTTGTTTTCGCGGTTTCAGCTCACACCCGAACATGCGAAACTTCCATCAACATTGTCTGTATTCAGCAACTTCTTGCTCGGGGAGATTTTCTCTCAGGTTGGTTTCATCATCTTACTATTGTGCTCCTGTAAAACAAAATTCCTGATTAATATAATATTATTAGGATCCTCTAAGAGCAAGTGACAAGCCATTGACGAGTTGTGGTCCTTACAAAATGAAAGAAGACGATGCAATGGTTTACCGAAGACCTTATCTCACTTCAGGCTCTTCTGGTTTTGCCCTTAACGCCATCAGCAGAGCCATGAAGAAGGAGCTCAAGGTTCTGTCAAAAATTAAGTTTTTTTTTTCAAGTTGATATTTAGAGAAAGATATAAGAACTTGCTTTCTAAGAATTTTGCCTTATAGGTGTATGCAGAAGAGATGAGGAACTCATTGATGGATAAAGACTGGAAAATACCGACCACCGTGTGCTGGGGACAACGAGACAGGTGGCTGAGCTATGAAGGAGTTGAAGACTTCTGCAAGAGTTCAGGACATAAACTTGTGGAACTTCCAATGGTACAGGCTATTTTTTTGTATCCATGAGAGATTGCTAAACCACAAAGCTAATTAAAACCCGATTTTGTTCTTATCACTTATCAGGCTGGCCATCATGTACAAGAGGACTGTGGAGAGGAGATTGGAGGAATAATCTCAAGAATCATAAGTAATTCTTCTCTTGTTTAATTGGAGTTACTCAGGAAGAAGATAGAGAAAACATAAAGAGTCATGAACCAACCATTTGTAAAAAAAAAACCTCAGCTTTATTTCACAACCTATGCATGGAAAGGAGAAAGAGCAAATCATATAGTATTAAGATTACATACATATTTTCCTGAACTATGCTGACTCTTGGTCTCATCGATTTGTCCTGAATCATATATGCAGTGACTACAGTTGTAATTACTTTTGTCCTGAATCCGTCTGCATATATGCACTATGCAGTGACTACAGTTGAAATTACTACAGTATAAGAGAAGTTACTACAGTTGAAATTAGTTTTGAATCATTTTTCTCTTTCTAAAAGTATGATTAAGTCATTGAACACAAGGCGTTATTATAGCCCAAGATGAGAAGTTACAAGCATCAGTTTCTGACAATCAGTTTCACTTTGAAGCTCTAACAAAGCTTGAGAAAGCTGAGGAGTCATCTTGCAGAAGAAGTTGTGGTTCTCCTTGTTCAACCAGGATTCCGCGATCAAGGATCAAGATGCTGTCCAAGTCAAGAACCGTTGAGATGCGGTGAGCGATGGTAATGACTGTTACGCCTTTACACTCACTCGAGATTGCGTTGTGAAGTAAGGAAGCCGTGTGAACATCGATGTTGGCGGTGCATTCATCGAGGCACAGGATCTTAGATGACTTGAGCAGAGCACGTGCAAGACACAGAAGCTGTCTCTGCCCAACGGAGAAGGAACATCCAGATTCCTTTACATTCGAATCTAACCCTCCTGCATTTTCTACCTCTGTCTTTACTTTACACTTCTCTAAGATCTCCCATATTCTCCAGTCCTCACTCAACCCAAGAGGATCAAGATTATCCCTACGAGAACCGGAATGTTTTCATATCATCATGGAAACTGAAAGACAAGATCATGATTATTGACATGCAATATGAGTTTTGAGTCCTCACCTCAATGATCCTTGAAACAGGAAAGGGCTCTGAGGAACAACAGCGAGGCGAGAACGAAGCTCTCTTACTGGAAGATGGTTTACGTTAACTCCATCCACCATTATATCTCCACTACAGACAGGGGTGAGCCGGAAAAGAGCATTCAAGATCGATGATTTTCCGGCGCCGGTTCTTCCGATTACTCCCACCTGATTTATAAAAACACCAAAACTATATACTTTCATAAAGACAGAAAAAAAAAACTTCTGTGTTACAGATTGCTGCTCAGCAGCAATACACGTAGTACCTGTGTTCCTCCTTGGATTGTAAAAGAGATGTGGTTGAGCGCAGGAGGCAGAGTTGAGATGTACCTCATAGTCACGTTCTGAAACTCAACCGTTCCTTGAACCGGCCACTTACCGGTGAGAGATTGGCTACCGGAAACTTTTTCTTGAGGCACATCCATGTACTGATCACACACAAGAGAGCATAGTTCATGTATTGGTAACACTAACATAATGAAAAGTAAAGAATGAGAATCATTTACCTGGAGAACCCTTTCAACAGAGACCATCTCCTTCTCTGTTTCGGTAAAACTTGTTAAGAAGCTTCCTAACAGAGAAACCAGTGGAGCTGCATATGATAACGCCAATCCCACCTGTGACTCAAATTGTAACTTTTTTTGTTATGATTTCACACTTGTCATTAAATTTATTGAAAACTGCAATTCCTTACCAATCCAGGTGTACCAAAACTGATGGGAAAGTTTCCCCGGGAACCGATAACAGCCATTATAGCAACAAATAAGACGATCATTGCTCCTAACAACTGCAACAATTAACTCAAATGATCAAAGCCTTTTAAGAAATTCCATACTCGTCTATTGCAGAACACAAGGTCTTCTTAGTGTACCTGAAGACGCAAGGAGAGCCACAAGCTTGCAATTATCTCTGAGTAAGAAGTCCGTTGGTATAATGTCAAGTGCTCGATAAATCTAGCTACGAAATGCTCCTGTCATATGCATAAGTAAACCGGAATTAGTATACAGGTTTGTCAATTAGTGGAGAAGCAAGAACAACTTCCTTTAGAAGCAGAACCAAGACTACCTCTGACTGAAAAGCTCTGATAGTTGATGATCCATCAAGCGTCTCCGTGAAGGATGCATAGATTGGTGATCGTGAAACACTGTCTAACCTTCGTAGCTCCCTTGATGTTGACCTGTAGAAGAACTGAAACAAACTTCAGTTAGTAAAAAATTTACGAAGAGAAAACCAAATGAGATATCAGATTAGCTAAATGCAGGAGGAAAAAGTACCTGAAGCTTGCTGTATATATACCAAAATGGCAGAAGCAGAAGCAGGAATAGAACCTGTACACATATAATATACTAATGTCAACAAGACACAAGAATATTACTTAGACATGCAAAAAGAGAGAGAGGGATTTGTGAAGAAACCTGAACATAAGACAAAACTACAACAATCCCTAACAAGCCAACAAAATTTGCTAGAAGAATGTTGAGAATAAACGGAAGAGAGTCATCGATTGTATACAAATCAGAGGAAAACCTGAACATAGGAACCAAAAACGAGGTTAAGAATGAAGAACAATTATACACATAATCCAGAGAGTTCTCCTGTCTCTAACCTGTTAAGTATTCTTCCGCTTGGTGTCTGATCAAAGAACTGTGTAGGTGCATTGATAAGCTTACAGATTAATGCACTGTGAACACGCACTGCAGCTTTTAACCCTCCAAATGCAAACGAGAATGCCCTCACCAAGGTTAATATTGAGTTAATGATGCAAAAGATACAGAGAACCATCTGCAAAATTAGTAGTAGATTAAGTTTTTAACTCGATAACACAGAGAAATAGAGTTAAATCTCATGGTTTTCTGTCATAATCTAGTACCAAGTAAAACGAGGTTGAGTAATGTGTTACTCCTCTTCCCGTCTGATCAACCCAATATGATAGCCACAAATCATTCCCATTACGGGAAGCTTGCATCAGAACCGCAGAAACCAATATCACAATTGTAATGAACCAACCAGAAAATACAGCGTAGTTCCTGCAAAAACAGACAAGAGTTGCTTACTTATACATAAGCAAGAAAAGAGGAGATGGTTAAGCAAATTGTTTACCTATAAACGGTTACTTCAACTCGGCCTTCTTTTCTCTCCTCCACTTTGATAATATCTGCAGCTTCACTAACTTCATCTACATCCTCTTTCTTGATAAGAAGAAATTCTTTTCCTTTGGTAAAGTGCTTTGAGGACGACATATCAAACTCATTGGATACAGAAAATGTTGGAGAGATGGATTTGGGCATATCGGTAACAGTTCCTGACCATTTCACTGTTCCTTTGTCCATCACAACAACCATATCTGCACAAGATATCGCCTGAAAAAGAGCTCGACGGTATGAGAAAACGAAATGATATATGTGTCATCCAATCAAACCGCTACAATATTTGGATATGATGAGCGGTTAGGCTTCATTTAGACAACGAACAACTCCTTCACATTGATCCCAACAACATACATTGAATCTTGATAAATTTGCATTGTGGGAGAGAGATATGAAACCTGAATGTTGTGAGTACACATAATGCGAGTCTTTTTGCTCAACAGAGGACCCACAAGTGCTCTTTGCAAAATCCAACAGCCTACTTGTGAATCCACTGCACTCAGTACATCATCAAGCAGATACATGTCTGAACCATGATAAATAGCCCTGCGCACACAAAATTATCAGAACACAGCACTCAATCTGTAGATGGTGAAAGAGCATATGAGAGAAATCAAACCTGGCCAAAGCAAGCCGAGCTCTCTGTCCTCCAGATAAGTTAACTCCTTTGTCGCCTATAAATGCCATGTCACCTCCGACCATAAGTGAAATATCCACATCTAGTGCGCAAGCACTCAGTGTGTCAAAATACCTAAGTTTAACAAAAGTTACAAGAAGGTTAAAACTTTGCATTCCTAGATCAAATACACCAGCAAGTAGCTTTGTGTGTATGTAAATTCGACAAATGAAGAACAGACTTTAAGAGTAGAAGAGCATAAATGTATTGATGAAGCGAATTACTTAACCTGTTGGAGTCAAAAGTCTTTCCAAATAAAATGTTCTCGCGTACAGTTCCAGATAAAATCCACGGGACCTTGCAGTTGAGTGAGGTAAATGTAAACAAGTCTCAAAGTTGAAACCAAAAAAAAAAAAAAAAAAGAATCATACAAAGTATTTGATCAGTTTACAAACCTGTGGAATGTAAGCCACAGAGCCATTTAATAGTATTGATCCATGAACACACTGCATTTCACCTAACAGTGAATTCAACAAAGATGTTTTACCTGAACCAACCTGAAAATGAAGGAAAGCACAAAACAGTTCCAAACATGAAAATACACCTAACCATAGATCAATGATACTACGAATATATATAGAGATAATAACTTAAACAAAGGCGGGGACGATATCTATACCTCACCGATGATTGCAACAAATGATCCCTTTGGCACTCTTAGGCTTACGTGTTTTATTGTCAAGTTATGTTCCTCTCCAACATTACTTGACCAAATACAAGATGCATTTTCTACAAAGACAGCTAAGTCTTCAGAGATCAAACCAGAATCTATAGATGAATCTTTATTATGCTCCATACAACAGAGAAACTTGCTCACACGCCTGGTGGATATAAAGGCCTGTGACAAGGTAAAAAAAAAACTAACTTAAAACAGTAGACAAAAAATGCTACTCTCAGAGTCCAACGTGGTTGAAAGATAAAGCTTACATCAATAAGGCCATTGATGACCCATGGAAACGAGTTTAATGGAGAGATTAGGCTATTAAACAAAGCAAGACAAGTAAAAACCTGGAAAAAAAAAGCAAGTCAACTATCAGATTGCCAAGACAAGTTTATTCTAGAATCAGAAACATAATTGAAAACGATTTGAAAAGTACCGTCGCTGCATCAAGTTGATGGCCCATCAGTGCAAAGAGACCAAAAGTGCAAAGAGAAAAAAGAGTTGGTGTCGTTGCCCAAAAGAAAACACACCAAGCATCCAAATACTTCCGCGTCTGTAGAATCCAAACAAAGACTTAACAGTTAATACAATACTTTCTGTTAAGACAACATATTCAATAGCAAAAGGAGGGATTTGAAAATGAAACCGCTAGGTGAGTCACTTCAGTGGCTCTTGTTTCCTTCAACCAATCAGCAAACCAGTTATCCCACGCATACATTTTCAGTGTGCGGATGTTTGTTAGAAGCTCTCCCGTCTTTCTAATCCTGATAGATAACAAAACCTTTGACAATTTGAGAGAATACAAACTCAAATCCCTCATAGGATTACACTTATAAACTTAACGGTGACAGAGCTAAAACATTAAGAAATCATACCTCTCATCTTTTAGCTTCATCATTTTCTCGGTTGCAGACGCAATCAGCACAGAAATCCATTTATTGACTGAACAATAGAGTATATGAGACAACAGGACGCTCCAGGTTTTAAGAAGTGTAATGTAAGCTCGTAAGCTCGTACCTGGTATCAGTAAGATGGTAATTGCAAGTCCAGACAGAAAAGCAAACTTGACTTGAGTGTACAAAAGATACAAAGCTATCCCAATTTGCAGAGGCAGGCTGAGACAAATATGTTGAATGAGATTGCAACGAGTGATCATCTTATTTATACTTAATATCGGAAAATTCACATTCACACATTCATTGTTCATAAGCAGATGTTGTTACCTCCACATATCATGCAAACTGTTGCACAAATTGACAATGCGGTCAGCATCCACCGACATAAATGTTTGAATCTCTCCCTCAGAAAATCCTGACCGGTTCGCTGTGTTCACCCACAGACACTGCATACAATATAATTTCTTAAACAAAACATCTTTTACCAAAGAACCAAAATGTTTGATATACCAAGTAACTATCTATCGTATAAAATCCTCACTATATTACTTAAGGAACCAATTATCATTCACTATATCAGTTTTCACTTTTCACATGTGTTACCTTTCTGTAGATGATACTCATGATACTAGATCGGAGCTTCAGTTTAAGCTTTGAAAGACGAAATGTGTATTGTGTATCAAGAAAGGACCTAAAAGACAGGACAGAAACATATATCAGAAGTGCCTTTGACTATTGTAACACTTCAAACACAATCTGCAGTTTATTTACTTAAAGATAGATGTGAGTCCCAAGGAGATGGCGAGGGTATAGCCAACGGAACTTCCTGAATCTGTTCAGTTAGAAACAGTGTCAAATATTCCATAGTAATCAAATACATACACGAACTCTTTATGAAGAATCTTAGACCTTTTTCAAGATACTTGATAAGTCTGTTGAGCAATAAGGGGCCTGCAAAGCCGATGCAATCATTGAACACCTGCAAAATTTACGTTTCTCAGTAGCAGTGTATAACAAAGATTACCAGAAAGTCAAATAAGCAAATGTGTACCTTCAAGAGTCCAAGACGAAAATATGGCCATCCATACACGCCAGAAATTGACCAGAACAGTGATGGATTCGAGCAATTATTGCACTCTTGAAGTTGCCAGCATCTCAATAAGTTCTCACAACATGTAGAAGGATCCATATCAGGTGGAAGTGGAAGTAGATCCTCAAACTCGAGCTGCTTCATCGAGCCATGTTTCATTACTAAACTGATGTATCCGAAAGTGAATATATCCCACCAGCTGCTAGTTCTCTCCTTCAAAAATGAGTAAATCTTTTGGTTTTAACTAATTTGTTTAACAAGTAATACTTAGTTATAAGCAAAAGAAAACGGGAAGTCACGTACAATGCGACTTTGGTCATCACTTTCCTCGATAAGTGGATCTTCCAAAGAACTACAAGGAGATTAACGAAATTGGAGAGAAGAAAAACGGAAAGAGGTTTAGAAAATAGAATCATATAAAGAGCTTATATACCTGATCTTGGGAGGTGCCTGCTTTATCCTAAGGACGTTGATAGAGATACCAAAAGCAATGTCCAACATGATCAGGCAAATCTCCAAAGTCTGTTAATCAACAAGGGTCTATGAATTTTTCCCATCCATTCCTATGTCCACCAACTACTTATATGAAAAATGTAACTCAAATGGTAGCTATTGTAAATTTGAATACCTGTAAAGTGAAAATCATGTTGAGATGAAACGATTCCATTAGGAATCTAAAGATCCACCAGAAAGATAGGATTCGGCTACTGAAAACGCAGCAACCACATGAAAGCTTCGATGAGAGCATGACGGCACTCTGCAGGATAAAGCTGATAGCGTGAAGAGGATATGAAAGAAAAACACTGAAGGAGATAAGAGGCGTGACTTTTGTTCTTAGGTTTCACCAGATTATCTCAAAAACAAAACCCAACATACCCTACTGTTCGTGTAAGAGCTTAGTAAATAGGAAACCAATGACTAACCAATTTAGAAAACTCTCATCATTCCCTTAATTCACTCATAATTTATGATTCTAATCAATCAACCCCACATCTATTAGTCTCCATGATTATAGATTGTGATCAAAGTCTATCAAAAACAGCCTTCAGAAGCAAAAGAGGAAGACAAAGAAAGGGATTCTTGTTTGATAACAAGTCGCAGATATACAATGAAAAAGGCTTACCCACATTGCGAAACGAGACAGAGGGAGAAAGCAAAGAATGTAATCTCTCTTAGGCACTGTCCTCACAACCATCACAAGGTCCACGCAAGACAAACATGCTCCAAGTGCAGGTATTACATACAGCACACTCTTCTCAATGTGGCTTTTCTAAAATAAGAAGATCAGAAGAGAATGGATCATTTGTGAAACTACGTACCAAAAGCAGAACCAAAAAATTAGGCTTTTTTTACTTACCCTTCTGTTACATCTCCAACTCCTTCTCGTTACTGTGAGTATCAAAATAAGAAGAAGAGTAACTACATTGGCTCCCAATCCCACAACTGTAAACATTCTTAAGGAACCAAAATCAAAATTAAGAAACTGAAAACTCTAAAGACAAAAGCCCTATAAACCCAACACGCTCAGGGAAGGATATATGTCTCCTAAATGGTTCAGGGTTACGTCCATATAGAGCAGCTGAGACCAAGGCAATATAGATATCTCATCATCGTCATCATCAACAAAAAAACCATAGAGAAAGATTTAGTAGCAAACAAAAACCCTACTTACAGTTGAATTGGTGAGAGTAGACATGGATTCTCTAGGTTCCAAAGCCTTCCGAGGAATTCACCAAATTCCCTTCGTAGAAAAGCGTTTTAATTTAATCAAACCAGAAATCACATTTTGTTCTAATTTTGGAATATTTTTTCCATGTAAGACAAGTGTGATACAAAGCTGCCATCTTTAGTAGTGAACATGATAAAAAGTTAAAGTTAAAGGGAATGGTCCAACGGTTAAAATAATCACTTTGGAAATGGTCGTAATGGAAAGCTAAAGTTTTTCTATACACTAATGTATTACATGCGTGGGAGGATCACTTTGAAAATGATGACGTGGATGCCACTCATCTCTTCGGTTTTCACCCAAGTGTCTCTCCAGTAGAGACTACCCACCCACTTTTCATTTTTATAGCAAAGTTGCTCAAATACAATTATCATTACACTATTTTAAGAAGCATGTGATTATGATTAGGAACTCAAGAGGGCGTATTAACTTACTTGCTACAAGAGATTTTCCTATTTTCATTGCTCCCCTGAAAATCAGTAAGTTAAGCAAAATGAATATTAATGCCAACCAAATGAAAAAACTGAAAATCAGTCAACAAACAGATAAACCATATTTGGAGCGCGTCTAACGCAACTCTTAGCTCTATTTGTCAATTCATTTCTCATTTACCTTACATCAGACGATTCTATAAAGACATGTGAGATGAAGCAATTTGGGTTTCTTCTCATCCTCTCTGTCTCCTTCACCTCTATTTTGTACTGCTGCTGCATATAGAACAATCTATTTGGATCCAAAAGAAATGGGAAATTTACGGCTATAATGGTACACAGAGACGAGGCTGAGATTACATGTTTAACGATTGCTTCAGAGCTGAGTAGACTCCGATCCAAGAAATGGTGTTTGCACTGTCGAACTGAAAATACGATCTCTCTTGTTGGGCATTTGACAAAACAAACTCTTTGATTCCACAGTACAATATCTCTCACGGTCATTTCGTCCAACAGTTTCAGTGCTTCCTTTAAACTGTTCTTCCTCAAGCATCCCGCGATCATCCTTCACGCTATTGAGAGAATCCCTCGAGCCTCGTAGACTGTTTGGTTCTCTAAATGGTTGAAATGTATAAACTTCATACCCGAATCGCCATCCATAAAAAGTCTCGATGCTGTTTAACAGAAGAAAGGTCGAAGCTTTTCTAGTTTTTGTCTCCACCAATTTGCAAAAACCAGTCTAAGTTCCTCTTGTTAAACTCTCGTAATCTGGTAAATTAATTTAAACCATCAATCATGAGAATTCAAACCCAAAGGCTCGATCTTTTCTGAGTAAGTACCAAATTGTCTCGACTTCTGTGTTACAACTCAAACCACAACTCATAATAAAAGCATACAACTTTTGATCATTGGAGAAAGATTTTCACTTGTAATTAGTTAATTTGATTCGTCATTAGAGTTAAAGTTTGAAAGCAAAAGTAGTGATGATTAACCAAACTGTTTTACATAACATTTCTTCAATGAAAACTGATTACAAATATGATCTTTCTTAAGCCGCAAGAAACTATGAACAGAGAAAAAGTTACAAGTTAATGAATCGAGGGTTGAGACGCAGTGTCTTCATCTTCTGCTTCTGGCCTCCCTTGCCTTTCTCGCTCAACTTCTGACTGAAACAGACAGTTCCATATATGGTTGAAAGATCCCTCCGGATTTTTAATCCAACGCAGCAAACGTATTTCCTCATTAGAACACAATCCCTTGAAACAGAGCTGCTTCATCAACGTGATCGCCGCATCAATCTTCCTGAGCTGTCTTTTGCAATCTTGGATCGCCGAATCTAAAGCAGAGAGTCTCTCTGGCTCGTCTTCCAAGATCTTGGTGCGAGAAAGATTGCGAATACAGCGTATGACCTCTTCCAAGAGTGAGATCGCGTCTGAGAAAAGCTTGAGGAACTCCACGAACTGAGGCTCCTCAAAGATGAGCCTAGGTCTGTGGAAAGGAAGCTGCATCTTCAGAGACTTGTAAACATGTGTGAGATAGAATACAACTATGCCCTTCACGCCCAACGGTCCATTAACGACTTTCAGAAACCTCCGAAATGACTTTACTGAGAAATTAAGAACTCTGCTTTCAGAGAGATACATTGCCTCGCCGACGAGAGAAGAGAGTTCTACTCCTAGTTTGATCGCTTCTTGTTTCCTTCCTCTGAGAGACTCTGGTCCATGACTGTTCTTGTTATTCTCAGTCTGAAGCATGTTTGGATTCTCTTTGATATCAGCGAAGATGGCAGATTCAGCACTCAACATTCTGTTCTTCTCCTCACCCGCAACGTCCCTTGCTTCTGTTTCTTCCCCTTCGGTTTCTTGGACGGGGTCTTGGTTTGTTCTTGATTCCAAGGACGATGATGATGATGATACAGGCGTCTCTTTAGCTGCATTTTCCTTGTCAATACATAAACCCTCGAATCTCTTCCTCTCGATAGAGCTAATATCAGAACGAGGTTGATGGTCATCACTTGTTTCACCTTCAGACTCCATCTTCTTGTTTAAGCGATCACGAAAACTTAGAAAGAGAAAATGTGAGAACGAGAGAGAGAGCCGAAATAGACTTTCTTGATGAATTGTTGAACAAAACAAGTCTGTGTCGCGCAAGTCAGTTTTATATGACACATCCCAACATTTTTTTAAACGTAAACGCCAATTCACAATAGCTAGTCAAGAAAACGGGTAACTTTTAACAAAATGGTCTTTCATTGGAGTCTGATTCATACTAAAGCCAAAACTCATGTTTGTTCAATCAAAACACACAAAAAGAGCAGTACTCAAAACCGTCTTATAACAAAAAACGAAATGAAACAAGACAGAAACACAGCTAAATATCTCAAAGTGGGGCTTGTTTCTTCACTCGTCTTCTTGGCTGCGGAGCCTAGCAAGCCTGTTGGTGACAACAATGTCAAGCTGGGAGGCTCTCTCGACAATGGACTTCCTCAGCCTGGTGGAAACGTTGTGAGCGATCTCTGCGCAGTAGGTACGGTTGTGCATCATCAACAACTCGAGGTCACTCGTGTTGTGAACGACGAACTTCTTGAATCCATTGGGAAGGTAGTGGCGAGTCTTCTTGTCAGATCCGTATCCCACATTGGGCATCAAAGTCACACCTTTGAACTTTCTCCGGACCCTAGAGTCAATACCCTTAGGCCGTCTCCAGCTTTCCTGTAAATTTTCAAAGAATCACAATGTGTAAAATAGACGAGAATGGAACCAAATGCAACAAAAGCATATCTTCAACACTCTGATACTTCTTCTAAACAACAATTCCTTACGGATTATGAAAGTTTATCAGTATTCAGAAACTTGAAAAGTAGTATCATGTTTCAGTGATCTAGTTCATGATACAATAGAGTAGTCGAGGTTACACTAGAATCATCATTTTCATTGTAAAGCTTTATAACTGTAATCAAGAGACTGATTCAATACTAAAAACAGGACTCAAGCACAAACTGTTCTAAAATTTCAGTGAACGCTATTTGTGAAAGTAACTAGGTTAACTATAACCATCATTTTCAAGAAATATTCTTCATAAATAATACTTGGGAGAGTAGAATCAAGCTCAAACAAATCTCAATCTAATGAATGGTGTTGAAGACAGTACTAAAGTAAAACATAAAATCGTCATTTTGTTGAGACTGGAGTCAAATACTTAAGTGAATCACCATACTGCATCAGTTTCTAAAGCTAAAATTTTCGATAGAAACACAGAGATCGATCTTCAAAAACCCTAACAAAGAATACGTCTGTGAAATTGAATGTAAAGAGTGGTTACCTTGACGGTGATTCTTCGGTCGCTCTGGGGCCTGATGAACTTGGCAGACCTCTTCTTCACGACCTTCTTGGTAAGCAACGGGACCGCCATTTTCTCTGCTGCTTCCTAAGATCTCTCTCACTGCGACGCCGTAAACTGCAGAACGAACTTAGATTGTGTTTTTATATAGGCGGTACTAGGGTTTCTCATCACACACAAAATGGGCTTAGTTTGTGGCCCATTAAAATTCTTTCCTGGCCTTTAAAGCTATTTAAGCAAATATATAAAAGCTAAAAGGTTTTTGAGGTTTTTTTTTGTTGGACGGCTACTATCAATTCTTCACCCTTTAAAAAGTAAATTAACATACCAAACATTTATACGAATGAGTTTTTAACTTCTGATCTATCTTCATTTTACACACGTACCTAGTTGCATACCAATTCACTCACCAATAACCATACAATAGCTTCTTACACACGTAATTAGTAGCACACCAAGTGTTATCATCATTACATTATATGTGAATTTACTTACCGATAACCATAAAATATAGCTTCTTACACACTCTCATAAAAAGGCTAACCCTAACAAAGAGTCTTACTTCAAAGCTTCTTCAAACTATCAAAATTCGATTTGTACCTAATTTGAGATATTACCCGATTATCTCTAACATCATCCAAAGATCTTGATTTCATCTCCAAGGCCAAATCTTAGTGCTACACTCTCTTACGCAATATCACCCTCAATCTTGATGCGTAAGTCTTGCTTGTATTACACACATCAGCTTCAGGTGTAATTAAGCTCCAAATCTTAGGTTTAGTTACAGTTAGTACTCTTATGTTTTTTTCTCATAATATTTATCCTTTTACTTTATCCCCAGAATATAATTAACGATTCTATAACTAATGAAACAGAAATATCAGTAGTTAGTTATATACTTATATATATATATATATATATATTTCATCACTAGAGTTTGATTAACAGTTGCAGATTTCAGAGAATAAAGTCTCTTTATTAACAGCAAGTAAGTGAAACGATTACAAAGAAAAAGTATAATCGAGAGGTTATGCCGAAGTAAAAAGGTGTTTGCGAAGTAAACTAGAAAGCATTGAAGTCTTTGGTTTTAGTTCTACTGCTCTCTAGAATGTATGAGTTGTCCTTCTTGGCTTCGAGGTCCTCTTTATTTATAAGGATAGGAAGTCGGTTGTTTCGAGCTCTTTTTTCTTTTTTCCTTTGGCAAATATTTCCATATTTGCGATATGAAAATCTTTCTTATTCTCCGAGAAATATGGAAATTCTCCTTTATCTTCCGACTTAATCTGATGTTTCCGGTCTTCGATAGTTATCTTCAGAATATTTCCTTTAGTCCGAGCTAGGTCAGCACAGTCTTCATGGTCCTGATGAGCTTAGGTTATTGCTAGAGAAAGCCTTTTAGGAAATGTGCTCATTTCCCCTCTAACAGTAAGTCCCCCCCAGTTCGGCAAAACTGATTGTAAATCATGTCAGCGGACTTCATGAAGTTTAAAATTGGTTTGATCTTGCAATAAGCGTTAGTTCGTCGAGAGCGTTGTTCCGCTATGGCCAGCTCGGCCCGATTTTAAGTGGGCTTGTAGCGCGGAGCTTTCTTGGAAATAATTATTTAATATTCTGTACCATTTTAGGGTTTTTCTCTTTAAGCGGGAAAGGCGAAGGGTTTTGCCAAGCAGCGAGATTCTGAATATAGTGACACGCGTCGTTATAGGAAACTGTTGATATTTCTTTCCGATTGTTTCCTCTTCTTCTTTTTTTTTTACCTCCTCGTCTTCTTGCTTTAGACATCCCTTTGTCTTCGTGTTTCAGAAATACTTTGTTTTTTTGACGATTTCCGTATCAATTCTTTCTTCTTGCTTCAGTAATTTCTCTTCTCACTCGCCGATCTTCCTTTTTTTTTCCTATTTTGTTCAAAATTTCTTAAAACGTCGACCTCTTCTCTAAATTCTTCTTTTGATGACAATGAGATTTGTCTCGCTGAACGTGCCAAGCGAGCCTGGATTAGCCAGTGGCTTCTTTTTCCTCTGTTTCCGAGGGATCTTCAAGTTATCGAGACGAGATTCCGTTGGATCACCCTAACGCAGACTCCGAAATGGATTTGGATGGTTCCGGGCCAGCGAGCTTCGAGTCAGAGAGCAAAATCGAAGGTCTTCCGCAGATGGTCGCGATGTCGAAGCACAGGACCGGCATTAAAGACGAAAGGACCTGGATGACTGTGGAAAGACTCCAGGAGCTTCGCTCAAAGTGCTGTTTTCCCGAGGGGGTTGAGCTTCTACTCCCCCAGGTCCATGAGAGAGTGACCACACCCCCGGAGGGTTATTTTTGTTCTTATGAGTGCCATTTCGCAGAGTTTGGTCTTCAGTTCCTGATTTCACTGCTTCTCCGGTGGCGCAGCTCTTCCACGCTGTAATTCGTCATTTTAAAAGCCTGGCGGCGGTGGCTTACGCGGCAATGGTTGGGATATTTTTGAAAGAATATCTATTCTGAAGAGGGGAAGGATGAACTGCCGCGGGTGGCGCCATTTCTATACCGCGATGAAGGAGGAAATCATCGGCGGGGACCCGACGAGTAAGGTTCACGAATGGGATCGGTTTTTCTTCTATGTGAAGATTAACCAAGCATCCATTCGTGGTTCCGATCTCACCTTATTCAAGACTTGGAGGTCGACACCATGTAAGGTGAACCAAGTTTTCTTTACCCCCCTCCCCCCTTTTTTTTACTCTCCGGATGCTAATTTGTATTTGTTATAGCAGTGTCATTATGTCTTGGAGATGACCCAATCGGGTTTGACAACGATGTCAAGAGGCTACGTGATCTGAGCCGGCGGCTATGGGCTTAGAAAGAGAAAAAGGGGACTGCTAAAAAGAAAGCAGTCAAACCTGCCGAGAAGAAAGTCAAACCTCCATGACCAGGTAGACTGCTAGATTGAAGCGATTTTTAATTAATGCTTGGTGATGAGATATTGTTGACCTGTTCGTTTTTTAGCTTCTCGAGGGACTTCGCAGCCGAAACCCATAAGGGCTGGCCGAAAGAAGAGGAAGACGGTTTTACCGGGCGAAGCAGATGCTCTTGCGAGTTCTTCAGTAAAGAAGAAGAAGACGACTCCCCAAGATCCACCTAGTTTGGTGGATTACGATGATGTCGAACCGGTCGCTGAGAACGAGACTCTTACGAGGTAAACTCCTTTTCTGGCTTCGCGTATTATTTTATCATGCCGAGATGATCTTTTGACATTATATTGTTATTATATTTTTTTAAATTAGTTTCTCCAGGGTAGCAGCGGATGATGGGGACGCGTCCGATGCTGTCGGGAGCCGTCGCGAGGTTGTTTCCTCCCCACCCCAAGTTGATATTCCTTCGGTGCCCCGGATCGATGTTTCTTTGCCGCCCAGAGTGGATAGTCCCGATGTCCCAGACACGGAAGATGCAGGTCGGGAGAGGAACGAGGGTCCTGCTATGGCTCATTCTGAAGGGCCGGTTCCTTCCGAAGTTGCTCCGGACACGGAAGATGCTGGTCCTAGCGCGTTGCTCCTTCTCAAAAGGCTGCTGGCACAGATGGTGCCAATTCAAGTGCTCCGGCCGAACCCAAACAGGAGGAGGAGTCTTTTAACTATAATCTTCATCATCTTTGCATGTGATGGGACGGGACTACTCCAGCGATGCTTAATCGCGATGTTGCCGCGAAACTGATTTGGAAGTGTAGGAAGACGCCGCGATGAGGTAAGCCACTTCGAGAGCTGAAGCTGGCGGATTCCATATCTTCAGCGAGTCAAATGATAGCTCGAGTATTTTTCGGTTATACTATGTTGTGAATGTGCTGTGCCCCCTTTTATTGTGTGCTTTCTGAAAATAGGCTGTTATGTAGGGCTTGGGAGCGTATATGTCCGCATTCGCGGAGTTTGACGACAATTTTTTTCAAGAGGAAATGATACTGGACGCCGCCTATACTGAGATCAAGGAGCTCAAAAGGGCGGAAGAGGAGAACCAACTTCTCAAGGAGAGGTGCACTCAGCTAGAAGGCACTGTTGAAACTTTTAAAGGCGAGGTGGCCGTAGCTAATCGACTTCGCAAGCAGGTCACCGCTCTACAAGCCCAGAACGAGTCTCTTGAAAATCGGAACGAAGAGAACTTACAGAGATTCCTTGCCGAAAAGAAAAAACTTCAGAAGTCTTATGAGGAGGTCGCTCAAGGTGCTGCTGACAGAGTTTTCGATAGTATGACCGCTTGGTTTAAGCCACGGTTAGATCGGATTCAGGCTTCGCTAGTTCAACGCGAAGAGGTGGAAGCAGCCCTTGTTGGCGTGGAGAAAAGTAGCCACATGGTGGCCTTCTTGAAGAAGATGCAGGATAAAGGATGGGAGCTCCCTGCCGGGACCTTTCCGTCTTTCGAGGGAATTGGTTAAGTGGAAGGCGACTAGTGATGCTATTGACGAGATAGTTATTACGAGTGAGGACCTTAATCTTCCGAGCAGATCAGAGATCGAGAGTCTGCAAATGTGAGCTAGGAGAAGACGAGTATTATGCCGTCTTATTTACTCTTCTTTTCCTCTCCCTTTTTTTTGTAATAACCTTAACATTTAGATTTATAATGAATTTTGCTTTTTCTTCTGAAAATAAGACTTGTCTTTCAAATTCGCGAAGTTTTATTGTGCGCTGAACTTTTTAGTTCGGAACTGGAAGCGAGATTCCTTTACTCGTCTGATACCAAACGATCATCAAGATCGAATACCTAGTTTTCAGGATTCACTTCGGTCTGAAAGGTATGATCGAGAGTCATGCGAGTATTGTCCTCGGCTTTCTTCTTATCCACTTCGGAAGTAATTAAATCGAACCGAAGTATCAAAGGAGTGGTGATCAGCCAATGTTTTTTTTTTGTTGTGTTTGCTTTCTTGAATCGAATGTTTGGCCAGAACATCGATTCAGCAAAATGTATTTGCAGAAGGAAATATGACTCTACATGCCGAGCTGATTTTCCGGAATATAAATTTTATTAGATTTACAGCTGCACCCGGAGGTTACCTACGTACCCGAATTGGGATCAAGCCGTTCGTATTTCATTACAACTATTGAATGAGTAGTGTCACTCAAGGGCCGAGCCCGGTTTTATTGAAAATAATAAAAAATAACTAAATATTGTAGCAGATTTGTTGTTGAATCTTCTTCGGTTATTTAGCGCCTTCGAGGGCTTTTGCCGTGGAGAGGCGCACTTTGCGTTCGCTGATAAAACAAGACCTTGTCATCTGCTGATTCCCGCGAAGCGTAAAGACTCTGGCCGAGGTGGCGAACTTCATGCATTGATGATAAGTCGACACGATAGCTTTCATCTCGTGGATTGAAGGTGTGCCAAGTATGGCATTGTAGATTGCCGGTTTATCCATGACGGTGAATTTAACGATTTTTGTCACTCCGCCGACGTAAACTGTGTGTTGTATGATGCCGAGGCTGAAGAAAGACTCGCTGGCAAAGCCGGTCAGAGGCTTCGGTGCTGCTTTGATGTCTTTGTCTTGGAGTCCCATCTTGTTCAACGTATCCTTAAAGTCGATATTGACAGTGCTGCCGGTATCCACCAGTATTTTCGCCACCTCGCTGTCGTGGATATGTAGCTCGACCACTAGCGGATCATTGTGCGAGGTATGTAACCTATGCATGTCTTCCGATGTGAATGTGATCATGGGGTGGTAGTCCACTGGACGAGGAAACTTTCGCGAAGCGATTGCTTTGCGGCCATATTTTTTGATGGCGCGAACCGAATCATCGCAGTCAGGGAGTCTCTCCATGATCATGTTGACCCATCGCTACGGCGGGGGTGGCGGGTTGTCGTGCTTGCCTTCGCCGTTTTGGCGCTCCGCTCCTTTCTCCTTTTCTTTTTCTTAGCGTTTTTATTCTGGCGAACGACTTCGGCGTCTTCCTCCGGAATCGCCTCGGTTGCTGTCTTTTCCTGGACCTCTGTGATCTCTGCTGGAGGTGTTTTGACGTGAATCCCTAGAGTTGGAACAGCGTTGATAGGAGCTTTTGCTCTGGGATCGATCACCACCGACGCTGATTTTGTCTTCTTTGTATTTTTCATACAATGTGTTATGAAGGTGTCGACAAGCCGAGATAGCATGTCCTGTTCGGCCGTGAAAGGAACAGTAGAGGTCATGATTGTCAACCCTATCGCTCGTACTCCTCGGAAGATCTCCTAAGGTCCACTGATTCGAGGGCTTTTCTCCGGTTGTCACAACGGTATGAGAGGATGGCTTGCTTTTGGCCGCGGGTTCTTTGTCTTTTGAGGTGCTTGCCACGTCCATGCCGTGCTTCTTGGCGTAGAAGATTTTCTCCTCTTCCATCCGTATGAAAGTTTGATTTTCTCCTCTTCCATCCGTATGAAAGTTTGAGCTCGGTGGAGTGCGTCTTCTATGGTCTCCTTCGGATTTTCTTGCAGATCTTCCTTGAAGGAAGACTCGAACCATAGGCCGTTCATGAGCAGCTAGGGATTGCGGGATCTGGCCGTACGCCGTGGCTGCACTTTTAAAATTTTTGATAAAATCGCGGAGTGGCTGATCGCGTTCTTGCATTAAAGTAAAAAGGTTGACCGTCCTTTTTGTTATGAACATAGAGTAGTGCTTTATAAAAGCATGGGATAAATCCCTGAAGGATTTGATCGATGCGGGAAGAAGGTTGGAGAACCACTTCAAAGCGTCCTTGCTAAGGTGTTCGGCGAAGGTTTGGCAGTGGTTTGCCTCGCGTTCGAGGTAGGTCTCGAAACGCTGCCTTTTAATGGCGACGTTGAATCCGATCAGCCATAGTTTGGGATCTTCCATCCCGTTGTAGTATGAGAGCTTTAGTTTGATTGCCTCGCCCAGTCGTACGTCGGTGATCCATGGGACAAACAGATTACGTTCAGCATCTGAGGGAATGGCCGACATCTCGGGTGCCGAGCTGGTGGTGCGGTGGACCTGAGATCCGATCGCGTTGATCTGTTGATACAACCTTGTGATCTCTGAATTCAACTCGTCTGATGGTTCCTCGTCAGCTAGTGTTGCGCCCCTGGTGTTGTTTTGCTCTGGTGTGTCGAAGACCAGGTGTCGCACGATTGGTTCTGATCTCGCGGTGGTCGTGGCTGCGAATGCGCTGAGCTGCTCGTCGTACTTGGCTTGCTCGGATTGGAGGGAGTCTAGTTTGGACACCAGGTTCTGCGTGAGGGGAAGAATGGCGGCCTGGATTGCTGCTGCGAGGTCGGCGGCCTGGATGGGAGCTGGGGGCGCTCCCGTGGGTGGATTCGCGGTAGTCGAGTTGGTATGTTCGCTGAGAGTGGGTGTCTCAGTGTGAGTGGTGGTGTCATCGTCGTTGCGGATAAGATCGCTGTTGTCGATCGGGAGGCTCATCGCTTCGGCTTTTCTTGCTGGTGTTTTAAGAATTTTATTCTCCTAGTTCCCACAGACGGCACCAACTGTTGAACCAGAAAATCACCACTAGGGTTTGATTAATAGTTGTGGGTTTTGGAGAATAAAGTCTCTTTATTAACAGCAAGTAAGTGAAACGATTACAAAGAAAAAGTATAACCGAGAGGTTATGCCGAAGTGAAAAAGTGTTTGCGAAGTAAACTAGAAAGCGTTGGAGTATCTGTTTTTTGCTATGCTGTTCTCTAGAATGTATGAGTTACCCTTCTTGGCTTCGAGGTCCTCTTTATTTATAGGGATAGGAAGTCGGTTGCTCCGAGCTTCTTTTTCTTTTTGCCTTTGACGAATATTTCTGTATTTGCAATATGGAAATCTTCCTTATTCTCCAAAAAATATGAAAATTCTCTTTTATCTTCCGATTTGATCCGATGTTTCCGGTCTTCGATAATTATCTTCAGAATATTTTCTTTAGTCCGAGCTAGGTCGGCGCGGTCTTCATGGTCCTGATAGGCTTAGATTATTGCTAGAGAAAGCATTTTAGGAAATGTGTTCATTTTCCCTCTAACAATATATATATATATATATATATTGCTATTGTTTTTCACATGTATTCTTACAAACATCTAATATATAATAACGTTGTATATATATATATATATATATTTTGCTATTGTTTTTCACCTGTATTCTTACAAACATCTAATATATAATAACGTTGGTTAAAATTTGGTCTATATTGTCGTATTGGAGTAAGAGAAAGCATATCAATCATATCTCTTGGCCTAAACAACATTCAGTCTCCGAATAGTACTTTAACTGGTTTCAAATCATTGAGAAAAAAGAAAAAAAAAAAATTTAGATGGTATAGAATGAGCTGAAGATCACATTACATATTTCTTCATTTGTTTATTTGATACAATACAAGTAACATTGAGAGATATTTATTCACTTATCTGTTGCAAAGGTACGTATGTGAGGGAAATATTTGAAACCACCACTTCCTTTTGTGAGTTCTCTTTTGAGAAATTTACTTTTACCCAAATTCATTTATTTACTAACTTATCTATGTTGCAAGAAGTTAGTTTAGAATGAAGTATTTCTTCCCTAAAAGATAAAACAGCTTTAGCCATGAGTTTCCATAATGAAAAATAAAATTTCTATAAGATCACAAAAGCTAAAGACATTTTCACCCAAAAACAGTTTAGAGACTCAACTTTTTCAAAATATTTTTGGTTGTCAAATTTCCCCATGGTTGTGACCTCTATACATAGATTGTAGATTATGTGTGTGTGTGTGTGTTTTTTTTTTTAAGCTTTTGAACATAAACCAAATTTAGTTTCTCTAAAGTTTTTAAGTACTATTTTAACTAGTAAACCGGCCATTGAATACAGCTCGGTGATTATAGTGAATGCAAGTAAACACTTCTTGTTAGGTCACTTTCTTAGAATTACCCGTCCTTTCATGGCTATAGTAAACAGACTATATGAATTTTAACAGTCAGTCTATTGTAGTTATAGTATGATTTTTGGTGTTTGTAAAGAGATCATAATTGGATTGTACAATTAATCTCTAACATGCAGTCGGAACTAGTAAAAACAAAAGAGAACCAATTGTGTGATAGAGTTTGATCCAACGGATAGATGAATATTTCAAAATTTACTCTCCTAATTAACGGTCCATTAACGGTCTATATATATTAGCTGACCCTAAAAATGACAAACTCATGAAATTCCAACGGTCAAATTTGAAAAACAAAATCCTTTTTCTTTCTTCTTGAGATCTAAGAAAACAAATTTCAAATGTAATACATTCTGACTCACCCACGTAAAACTTAGCTGGTACCGATGGAGTTGGACGGCGTGGAAGGAATGGAGTTTGACAGCGGCGAATCACCGACATTAAACTTAGCATTGGTGGTGCCGATGGAATGGGACGGCAGCAAAGGTGGCGTGGAAGGAATGAAGTTTACGATCAAAACGTGTGCAAAAGAAAAACACATAATCTATAATTAAAGTATACAAACAGGAGAAATTTTGACAAAAATTTTTTTGAAAAAGTTGAGTTTTAAACCTTTTTGAGAGTGAAAATGTCTTTTAACTTTTTTGATTTTTCGGAATAAAGAATTTTCATAATGGGGGTATCAAAATCAGTGACTCCATGAGATATATTAATACTATATTTATTTACAATTTTCATGCAAAGCTTATGAAGCCAGTAAACATCAGTTTATAATCGGCATTCATTAGGTGTTTAATGTATAAACTTATAACTTTAGTCTATATCATAAAATAAAATTTTGTTTAAAAGTTTTCTGTTGGACAAGATATTCCATTGTTGAATGATCAAAAGTCATTATCATACGATTTTCCATTTGCTATTGTTTTCACCCATATTCTTACAAACATCTATAGTAATAACGTTGGTTAAAATTTGGTCTATATAGTCGTATTGGAGTAAGAGAAAGCATATCAATCATATCTCTTGGCCCTAAACAACATTCAGTCTCCGAATAGTACTTTAAATGGTTTCAAATCATTGAGAAAAAAGAAAAAAACAAATTTAGATGGTATAGAATGAGCTGAAGATCACATTACATATTTCTTCATTTATTTATTTGATACAATACAAGTAACATTGAGAGATATTTATTCACTTATCTGTTACAAAGGTACGTATGTGAGGGAAATATTTGAAACCACCACTTCCTTTTGTGAGTTCTCTTTTGAGAAAATTATCATCCTCGGGAGATCGTTCCTGGGTGGGGGCGTGTTGATATCATGACGACAAGTGGGACAAGAATGCTTGCGGCGCAGCCACGGGAGAAGGCAGTCCCTATGAAAATTGTGGGCACAAGACAACTTCATGATCGTCTTCGGACCACCTGATGATAACTCTTCTAGACAGATTGTGCAGTCTGGCTCGGTTGGTATAAGTCGACCAACAGAGTCATAATCATCAAAGTCGTAAAAGCCATCCAGCGATGTTTCTTTGAAAACCTCAACCTCGGCTTCAACCAAGAAACCTTTTTTTCCTGTTTGTTCAAGGCTACAGCTCACATTAATGGCGACTCCACAGATCTTAGGAAGGATGAGTTGCAGAGCCCAGCTGTTCATGGTTGCCTTGGAGAGGACGTTAGCCACAAACCCTATGCAAATTTCTTCCCCAGCAAGGAAAGCAGGTGGGATCTCGAATACGATTCCATCTTTCGTCTCCTTAGGCTAATTTTAGTTTTTACATAATTAAAAACTATAAATATATTATTATTTTAAGAAATTTCCATCTAGGTATATATTCTGAATTATAATTTAAAAATTATAAACAATATATAAACATATTCAAATTTTCATCTACGTATATACCATTTTATACTTACGCGCAAGTTTGTATTAATTTTAATAACATATACGTAGCGCGAATTATATTTTACTGAATTATAAACTAATAATCTAATAAAAACTATATATATTATAGTTTTAGGCTAATTTTCAATATTATTCAGGTGGGATCTCGGATACGATTCCATCTTTTTTAGAAAGCGTAAAGAAAAGCCGGAATCTTCGACCTGATGAATTTTGCTATGGTCTCTTCTCCACTCTTGCATGTTCCAAGTGATATATTTCTTTGGTTGACTCAATATACCTTTAGTTGCTCCATGGATGGATCCAACATTGATATGCCATGCGCTAGGAGCAGAGGACATGAGCACAATGCTCCCTGAATCAGATGCTTTCAACAACGAGAGATTAAAAGCGGACTCCAGATTCGTTCCCATCAGAAACGAGAAGTCTTCTTCTGTATGGTTGGCTTTGCTTGCCATTCACGTAAGCTTTCATGAAGCTGAAACCCTTTAGTTTCTTTAGAGTGCTTATGTGCAATTTAATTAGTTCCTCTAGAATTCTTTGCGTTTTTCTATTGTGCTTACGGCTCTAATAACAAAATTTATTCTCACAACATTTTTTTTTTGTACCTTCACCTTCAATCTCACCAAAGTTTAAGTGGTGAAGGGCTGGTTCAAGAATTGGTAGAGTTTCATAATGTAAGAGAGAGGTATACAAAAAAAATTACTTTTACCCAAATTCATTTATTTACTAACTTATCTATGATTCAAGAAGTTAGTTTAGAATGAAGTATTTCTTCCCTAAAAGATAAAACAGCTTTAGCCATGAGTTTCCATAATGAAAAATAAAAATTCTATAAGATCACAAAAGCGAAAGACATTTTCACCCAAAAACAGTTTAGAGACTCAACTTTTTCAAAATACTAGGTATATAACTCATGCTATGCGCGAGTCTGTATTAATATTTTTGTTAATTTTTTTTAGTTACTATCTTTAAAATTATTAAAAAATAATATATTTATAGAAATTTTCATTTATATAAGAAATTTTAATATATAATGTGTAATTTATCCTATTTTATTTATAAATTTTAAAAAACTATTAAGTAAAATAATAACAATGACATCTATCGAATTATCTAACTTTGACGTACATATATATTTGATTTAAAGAAATATAATCTTGCTAATATTTTGGTATTATTTTTTGTTTTTCATAGAATTTCTATAGTTCTTTTTTTTAAGGTTTATGTGTTCAAATATTTAGATTTTTATTGAAAGTCTTATTGATGTTGTGTACCATTGCATATATAATTCATGATTCATGTTGATTCACATTTAATTTTGTTAGGAAACTGTAATGATCATGCAAAACCATTTTTTTTTCTCCATCATGTCTTCCAAGAGTTTTATGTTATATTTTTATTCAGTTTTCTTTATTTTAATTGTTAAATCTAGTTGTTGTATATTTTTTAAAATTGATAATGGTTACTTATTTTTTAAACATGTATTGTTAATTGTTAATTTTTTTTATTTAACTTTTAAAATTTTAAACCATATTAACATTTTCTGATTTAATAAATATGTTGATTTGGATCAATCAGATTGAATTTACTTTTTTTGTTGGACATAATTTGTTAAATTAACTTTTAATGTTTTAATTATACTTAATAATTTTTAGTTTGATTTAAAAGCTGATGTGAACCAATTAAATCAAATTTTTTCATCCTAATCATACTTAATATTTTTTTATTTAATAAATATGCTAATGTGGACTAATCAGATCAAGTTTTTTAATCTCATATGGACGCCCTCAATGCACTATGCTATCAACTATTATATATTATATTATTTTTGGTTGTCAAATTTCCCTATGGGTTGTGACCTCTATATATTGATTGTAGATTATGTGTGTGTGTTTTTTTTTTTAAAGATTTTGAACATAAACCTAATTTAGTTTCTCTAAAGTTTTTAAGTGCTATTTTAGCTAGTAAACCGGCCACTGAATATAGCTCGGTGATTATAGTGAATGCGAGTAAACACTTCTTGTGAGGTCACTTTCTTAGAATTACCCGTCCTCTCATGGCTATAGTAAACAGACCATATGAATTTTAACAGTCAGTCTATTGTAGCTATAGACTTATAGTATGATAGTCATCCAAAGTAGATCCTCTTGGTGTTGTAGGACCATAGTATATTTATGTTAACCATCTACTGTAAAACAATTAAATCTGCAGCAATCGGGGAATTTTGGGAAATAGTGTAGGGCTTCTTTAATTGTGTTTACAACTCTTAACAACAAACTTTATTCTTGCATGCAGCCGACAATTGTAATTTTTTCTCCGCAAAAAAAAAAAAAATTAACAAATATTTAATAATTAGTTTCAAATATTTTTGAGGTTTTCAACAATTTAATAACAATAATTTCATATAATTTAAGAATTTATAGCAATCAATACAAAAATTAATACATCATAATTTATGAAAATTTAAGAATTTCTTCTACATATTTACACATTATCCAATATATAAAATCAATCAAATTACTAAATGAAATGCCTTGGGATTTAGTGGTATACAACACAAACTCTGTATTTGATATAATTCATCTTAACCGGCCAAAAACAGTCCAGTAAACTTGTCAAAAGTCAAATTATCAAGTATATTGAACCGGTCAAAAAAAATTTTATCAAAGAAAAAGATAAAAATTAGCAATCAACAACCGGTTTGATATACCAGTTGTTTTCTTCTTTCTCCGTTTGTAGTCGCCTCTTATTCGTGATAATTTTTTTTATTTCAGATTCACACAGTCGTTTATACATCATTAAACGTTTTTCTTTGCAGGAGTTTTGTTGATTAAGCATTAAAACAACATCGAAAGATTCATAAACATATTTGAGTAAACAAAAACATGTTAGTGTTTTACGTTATAACGCCATTAAACACAAGCGTGCATATTTTTACGTTATAACGCCATTAAACACAAATATGTTAGTGTTTTACGTTATAACGCCAGCTTGCACTTGGACCACTATATATAACGCCATTAAACACAAGCATGCATAAATTTTTTTAAGTCCAACGTTTCGAAAACCAATCTTTTATGTTAGTGTTTTACGTTAACATGCATGTGAAAAAGGTTTTATAATAATGCTTTTTATTTTATTTATGTTTGTGTTAATCTATCCACTTGCAATCGAAAGACATTTGAATACAGAATCGAATATTAATATTAATTTTGTGTGGGAGGAAATCAGATTTTCTTTTCAGGTTAGAATGGGTATTTGGAGTTAATTATGGGTTCGGTTCAGTTATATCGGTCTTAGAAGAACTAAGTCTGAACTCAAAATGGGTATTTGGATCTATCTATGTATATGTGATTTTTTTTTTTTTGCTTGTATTCTAAATTTGAATATGCGAGATGTTCATATGTACAAGACTATTATGGCCAGTCAAATACATTAACTATTTTTTTTTTATCTAACTCATACACTAACTATTTTCCTGGCTGTTGACATTTAATTTTGTACTCCTGCTAGATATACTTAGTATTAATTACTATTATTACAGCAAAGAGAAAAAAAGAAAAAAGAAAAAAAGGCCATATAGGCTTATAGGGTTTATAACAAAGTAATCCTGAGTTTAAAGATAAAGATTCTCTTCTCCAGTACTCTTGCAACTTCCAAGTGGTATATTTCTTTAGTTGACTCATACCTTTAGTTGCTACATAGATGGATCCAACATTGATATATGTACAGCGCTAGCAGCAGAGGACATGAGCACAATGATCCCTGAACCAGAGGCTTTCAACAAAGAGAGATGAAAAGTGGGCTCGAGATTCGTTGCCATTCTGCTGTATGGTTGGCTTTGCTTGCCATTCACGTAAGCTTTCATGAAGCTGAAACCCTTTGACCTGGTTCCTCCACGCTAATATAAATACACTTCAACGAACAATATCTGCAGCTTCACAAACTTCATCCTTCTTGATAGAAAGAGATTCTTTTTCCTTTGGTCAAGTACTTTGGGGAGGACAAATCAGAATCATTGGATAAAGAAAATGCCCTGACCATTTCACTTTTCCTTTGTCCATAACAACAACCATATCAACGATTATATAGTTAACGACTTTATAGCTAATGAAACAGATATATCAGTCAGTAACAGCCAAAAAGCTCATATAAACCCACAGTCCCAATTTTTATATATATTTCATCTTACACGGCTGGATTAAAAAAATGACATGACTAAGATGGAGATGTATAAAAACTAAAGATAAGAAATATTGATAGAACATACCAAACAAGTATGATCTATGTTTTCTTTACGGATTCATGCATGATTTTTGGTGGTTGTAAAGAGATCATAACTGGATTGTACAATTAATCTCTAACATGCAGTCGGAACTAGTAAAAACAAAAGAGAACCAATTGTGTGATAGAGTTTGATCCAACGGATAGATGAATATTTCAAAATTAACTCTCCTAATTAACGGTCCATTAACGGTCTATATATATTAGCTGACCCTAAAAATGACAAACTCACGAAATTCCAACGGTCAAATTTGAAAACAAAATCCTTTTTCTTTCTTCTTGAGATCAAAGAAAACAAATTTCAAAAGTTTCTTTTTTTTTGCTTAACAACAAATTTCAAAAGTTTCTTCTTGAGATCTAAGAAAACAAATTTCAAAAGTTGTTTGTGCTTGAGAGGCAAGTGTTTAGAAGATGGATCTTGTCGAGTCTACTTCGGGTACGAACTCTTTAATTTTTTTTATTTTTTATTCGTGAAATATAATACATTGTCACTCACCGACATAAAACTTAGCAGTGGCGGTACCAATGGAGTTGGACGGCGTGGAAGGAATGGACTTTGACGGTGGCGAATCACCGACGTTAAACTTAGCACTGAAGTTATATTAATACTATATTTATTTACAATTTTCATGCAAAGCTTATGAAGCCAGTAAACATCAGTTTATAATCGGCATTAATTAGGTGTTTAATGTATAAACTTATAACTTTAGTCTATATTTTGTTTAAAAGTTTTCTGTTGGACAAGATATTCCATTGTTGAATGAACAAAAGTCATTATCATACGATTTTCCATTAGTGTATGATTCCCATTGAACAAAACAAATTAGCATCATTATAATGTGATATTGTGGAGATGAGAAATCGAAAACAAAGACACGAAGAAGAAGAAGTACCGTCAAAAGCATACCGCCAAGATATTAAGAAAAGGACTAATATGCAATTAGGAAAATTATCATTATGTTTTATTTAAATTGGCCATTCATTATATTTCTTTTTTACAGTTTTAAGAATATTGACTAAAAGAAATATGTTAAGTTTTTGGCTATAAGTATGTAAGCTCGTTAGAGCTAAGAAATCCATCAATAATATTTAGAGTTTTCTGAATCCTAAATTAAGTTCATTCTTCTTCTTTTAGTCTGAGAGCAAAGTTCACTTTAATCACAAATTTCAACACACTCTCTTGCGCCATATCACCTTCAATCTTGATGTGTAAGTCTTTGCTTGTATAACACAGCAGCTTCAGATGTAATTAAGCTCCAAATCTTAGGTTTACAGTAGATTACTCTTATTTTTTTCCTCAGAATAATACTTATATACCCTCTTTACTCTATCCCCGGAATACAAAGTTAAGGATTCTATAACCAATGAAACAGAAATATAGTAGCACCCACAGAGCTTAAACCTCGATTATGATTTTTGCTATTGTTTTCACCCATTTTCTTACAAACATCTATAGTAATAACGTTGGTTAAAATTTGGTCTATATAGTACATTAACTGGTTTCAAATCATTGAGAAAAAAGAAAAAAAAACAAACAAATTTAGTTGGTATAGAATGAGCTGAAGATCACATTACATAATTCTTCATTTGTTTATTTGATACAATACAATTACTACTCTTGTTCATATTTGTTTGAGATCCAAATTAGCGTTTACCTCTCAAAATTTTTAATTGGAAATTAAATTTATTTTATAAAAAATGATAACTATAAAACTAAAAATAACTTAGTATCCAAAAATAGAAGATTCCCTAAAATTATCAAATATTATATACAAAAATTATTTTAGTATTTTTTGCTAATTATTTTAAAATTAATTATTCAAAATACATATTAAATCAGTTTTTAATATAAACCCTCAAAAACCTAGTATAGGTAACTAACGAAGCAGAAATAGCAGTAGTTAACGATGTTATGACTTTTTTTTTTGGTCGAAGTCGAACGATGTTATGACTTTTGCTATATGAATGTTGCTATTATTTTCACCTATATTCTTACAAATATCTAATATATAACGTTGGTTAAAATTGGTTTATATAGTCTTCTTTTTTTTGGTCATCTAACATATATTATTAATTTATACTGTTTCAATCGTTTGATTTAACATGTATAAGAAAGTTTGGACAACTATGATATAAACTCCATAGATATATTGGAGTAAGAGAAAGCATATCAATCATATCTCTTCGCCCTAAACAACATTCAATCTCCGAATAGTTTATAAATTGTTTCAGATCACTGAGAAAAAAAGGAAAATAAACAAAGTTAGATGGTTAGCCTTATCTAAGTAAATAAAAGAGAAGAAGCTGAAGATCACATTACATATAGGGAAGAAAGAAAAAAAAAAGAAAAAATACAAAGCAAAAACAACTCTAGTAATAATCTCTTAATGCAACAATTTCAACGGTTTTTGTTTCTTAATCGTGAAACATATATAACAACAATTTAAGCAGAATGATGATTTTAAATAACATTGAGAGATCTCTCTCTTTTTATTTTATTTATTTATCTGTTACAAAGATAATTTATTTGAGGAAAAAATTTGAAACCACTACTTCCTCCTCTTGTGAGTTTCTCTTTTGAGAAAATTATCATCCTCGGGAGATCGTTCCTGGGTGGGGGACTGTTGATATCGTAACGACAAGTGGGGCAAGAATGTTTGCGGCGGAGCCATGTGAGAAGACAGTCCCTATGAAAATTGTGGGCACAACGCAACTTCATGATCGTCTTCGGACCACCTGATGATAACTCTTCTAGACAGATTGTGCAGTCTGGCTCGGTTGGTATTAGTCGACCAACAGAGTCATAATCATTGAAGTCGTAAAAGCCTTCCAGCGATATTTCTTTGATAACCTCAACCTCGGCTTCAACCAAGAAACCTTCTTCTCCTGTTTCTTCAAGGTTACGGCTCATATTAATGGCGTCTCTGCAGATCTTAGGAAGGATGCGTTGCTGAATCCAGCTGATCATGTTTGCCTTGGAGAGGACGTTAGCCACAAACCCTATGCAAACTTCTTCCCCAGCAAGGAAAGCATGTGGGATCTCAGATGCGATTGCATCATATATCTCCCCCAGAGATATTTGTTTACACAGAGTTTCACGACCGCTGGGACTCCGGACAAGATGCCGCTCAGCTGCTCGGATCCGTATTGAGAAAGACCCTGAGTTTTTGGATTCGACGGCGTGCGACTTGGAGTCATAGTCTACAATATATCTCTTCGACGTCATTGTATAAGCTCAGAGCGAAACTCTTTTTTTTTCGTCTCTTTCTGATGGTCGATGTGATTTTCGTGATCTCTGCTGTGATTGTGTGTGCATGTTTTATGTTTATAGAGATTGGTTTCCAGATTCACCTAGGAATTGAAAAAATAGAATTTTAACAGACAATATTTACAGACGGCTATCTGAATAATTTTTCATTCTTTTTCCTTTTTCATAGCATTAAGGAAAACGTTGTAATTGTTTGTTTATTTATTGTCTAAAGGAGTTGCTATGAACCCCATGGACACACAGAGTTAACCCTTATTCTTTCACTTGTCCACGCGCATGCTAAATTTCTTGCTAGCTGATTCATTGCTCATGTACCCTAGCTATATCTGGTTTTCAGTTTCTTCGACGAATATATCACATATATGATATATCTTATTAGATAATATAATTGACCGAGACTAGTTGTGAGGCTGGACCCTGTGAATTTTACGCAAAATTTCACATTATAATGATACTAATTTGTTTTGTTCAGTGGGAATCCTACACAAATGGAAAATCTTATGATAATGACTTTTGTTTATTCAACAATGGAAAATCTTGTCCAACGGAAAACTTTTAAACAAAATTCTACATTATGATATAGACTAAAGTTATAAGTTTATACATTAAACACCTATTTTAAGGCCGATTATAATTGGTGTTTACTAGCTTCAAATTTATAAGCTTTGCATGAAAATTGTGAATAAATAATAGTATTATATCTCATCTCATGGAGCCACTGATTCTAATACCCATAATGGAAATTCTATATTCCGAAAGATCACAAAAGCTAAAGACATTTTTCAATCATTTTTTTTTTTTGAAACTCAACTTTTTCAAACATCTTATTTATCAAATTTTCTCCTCTTTGTGGCCTCTATACTTTGATTCTAGATTATCGTAAAGCTAATATAGAAAACCGAGAGATAAATCCAAATACCCATTCCAACCTGAAAAGAATATCTGATTTTCTCCCCTATTTAAATGTTTGGATCATATATGTATACCAAATTGAACCATGAATAATGAAGGCAATTAAACCAGTCATAGCTAAGTGATATCTAAATGCATATCTTATGAAGTAAGGCAAATCTATATGAACAACAAAAACCCCTCCAAAACCATCCAAGGGATGATTTCAAAATTTCCTCTCCACAACAATCTCTATATGTATATATTATGTAACCCTAAAATACCAAACCCCAAAAATTCCAACGGTCAAATTCTCTGAAACCCCACACAAAAAACAAAATCCTTTTTTTTTCTTTACGATCCAAGGACAAATTTCAAAAATTATATTTTGCTTGAGAGGCAAGTTTTAATAAAGAGCGTATAGAAATGGATGTCGAGATGATAATGTTTGTCTCTGGGTATAATCACCAATTTTTACTAATTTTTTTTTCCTAAAAAGTATTGTGACTCACCGACATTAAACTGAATATAGTGGCAATGTTCATGGAAGTCTACAGCGAAGGCGATGTGGGAGGAGTAATCGTGGTGGAAGTTGACAGCGGCGTGGAAGGAGGAGATGCAAAGGAGGTGGACGGCCACGGTGTGGTTGCGGCGCTAGGCACACCGTGGTGGACGTTGGGGGTAAACTGATCATTTAATAATTTTTGTATTTTTTTCTTTTTCTTTGGGAAATAATATTGTAATTTTGATTGGAGCAATATTAATTTTGATATTTTTTTGTGTATATATTTGAAGATGCACTCAAACCGTTTGAGAGAAATCATCTCAATTGTCGTTATAGAATCGTCTCTATGTAAAGTAAAACAGAAATGAATTAAAATATAGAGTTAAATGTCCAAATAATAGTTATGTGTAGACTGATTTTTAGTTTTCCATAATGCTTAACTTTCTGATTTATCAAGATTCAATGTCTGTTGCTGGGATCAGTGTGAAGGAGTTATTTGTTGCCTAAATGAAGCCTAATGGTCATTTTGTTGCAGTTATCGGTGAGGTATAGAAATGGTCCCAATCTTTGTTTATTTTATTATTTTGTTATCTATATTCGTAGTATCATTCATCTGTAAAATTTATAGATAGATGTCTTTTAATGTTTGGAACTGCCTTGTGTGTTTCCTTCGTTTTCAGGATCTTTGTTGAATTCACTATCATTCGAAATGCAGTGTGTTCATGTTTAGTTTGGTGTGTTCTGCAATATATGAGGATGGAATTCTCTAAAAGGCGTTGATCAGTCGAGTTAATTGCCTAATTGGTGCAGTTGTTAGGAGCAATGATTGGCGCTTTTATATGCTGCTCCACTGGTTTCTCTGCTTCTTTAATAAGTAGATGTAAACTAAACACTTGATACTTCACTCTTTCAAAATATCAATATTTAGATGTAAATTATTGTACGCCAAGAAAGTACAATACTTTTGGAGAAATTTAAGAAACACTATTTTTGGTATCTCTAAAATATTACTGAGGGAAAAGTTTTTCAAAAATATTATACATTTTATAATGTGTCTTTTACAAATTTAGAAACTAATTTAAATCATTATAAATGCTGTAAAAAATCATTATTAAAGTTTGATTGTTTCTTTTTGTTCAAAAATGTGGAAATTATAATGCTCTTCATTAAAATAAGATTTTATCAGAAGAATAACACAAACTTATATAACAAAAAGTAGAACTTGAACAAAAAGAAACAATCAAACTTTAATAGATAAGAAATTAAGCATTAAATAATACGTTGATAATGATTTTTTTACAGCATTGGCCAGGGAAAAGGGGATGAGAGACGACATAAGAATTCTCCAAAAGGGTCAATTGTAAGCATTTTCTTTTCAAACTTTCTGATGTTTTTTAATTCCTGTGAGAATCTGTGATTCATGCTAAGCTAATGAGTTTGTAGATTCAAAAGATTTCCTCTCTTATTTTCCTTAATCAATTGGGAGTGGAAGAGCTGAAGCCAAATGGTACGAATGACTGTTTCCATGTCAGGGATGTATTCATATTTTTGGAATATATGTGTATTCTTCTAAAGTTTGATAAAAAAGAGTAAAAGCTGATTTCAATAGTCAAATTGTAGATTCATAGTTTGTGGCCCTAATGTTAAATACTTAAATTATACGACAATTGGATCGATTTGTATTTGGTGATATGTATATCCGCTTCACCACCATCTTATAAAAGAAAACTAAAGTTAGGATGGCATGGATGCATGTATCTTGGATGTTGATGATACTTGCTTCTCTAATGTCTTTTACTATCGGCTCAAGAGATACGAGTACACTTTATATTTGTAACCAAAAGTTTGACAACATATAATGTGGCTAATGGTATGCTCTCTTTATTAATACACTAGTTGGTGATCCGTGCTACGCACGGCTATGTGATTTATTTTTATATATTTTTGTATTAATTTGTTGTCGTATATTCTTGAGAATTTTAAGATAGATTTCTATTTTTCACAAGTATCTTTCTCGAATTTTCCAACTTTTTCAAATTTCTAGTTTGTGATCCATACAACACCGAGATTTGATTATTATTTTATGTATTTTTAAAATTATATTTTATTGTATCATATAGTTTTTGACATTTTGTGATTGTTTATTTTTTTCAAAGTACCCATTTTGAATTTCTTGTCTTATCTCAATTTTGATCAAATATTTTCTATTGACGATTATTTGATTTATTCAAACATATAAGAAAAAAGAACATATATGATAGTAGATATCAACATTATCCATTTAAGAATTAAAAATATTAAAATTATATAGTTTTTAAAAATTTCCTCGATTTTTCAGATTTTTTTCAAAATATTTTTTCAAGTTGACTTTCATCCAAATTATTGAGAATTTGTGAATAGATTTTAGATAAGGCAATTTATCGAACCCATCTCGTTACCCGAATCTCCTGTTTCATTTTTATTAGATTTCTTTTGGAAATTGTTATTCGTCTTTCTAATTACCAATTCTCATCACACACTCTTAAATTTTGCTTTTAATCTTGAAATACTCAAAGCTAATGTATATTATTATTTTTTATATATATATTGTTGTTTTTTTATTTTCTGACAACACACTATAAAATTTTTATATTGAATGTTGATATCAATTTTTATTATTTTCCATCTTTCTAATTACCAATTTTTGTTATACACTCGTAAATTTCTGTTTGAATCTTGAAATACTCAAAGCTAATTGTTATTACACTCGTATATCATTATTTCTTTTATAGTATTTTGTTGATCTTTTATTTTCTGACAACCTATTATAATTGTTATTTTATGTTTACTATTTTTATATTGAATGTTAATATTTATTTTTTTTATGATTTTCCGTCTTTCTAATTACCAATTCCTGCCACACACTCGTAAATTTCTGTCTTGAATCATGAAATACTCAGAGCTAATGTATATCATTATTTTTTGGTTTTGCTATTTTGTTGATTTTTGTTTTCTGACAATACATTATAATTGTCTTTTTATGTTTGTTAATTTGTATATTAAATGTTAATGTTAACTTTTATATTAAATGTAAATGTTAATTTTCTATTATTTTCCGTCTTTCTAATTACCAATTCTAAATTTCCGCCTTAAATCTTGAAGTATTCAAAGCTAATGTATATAATTACTTTTTGGTTTTATTTTATTTTTTGACAACATATTATAATTGTTTAATTAGTTTTTATTTTTTTTATATTGAATGTTAGTGTTATTTTGTGTTTTAAAAGAATTTAAATGATAAACAATTAATGATGTAATTGCTGAGGTGGCTGAAGGAGAAGTGAGAAAAGATATTTTATTTTATTTTTTGACAACATATTATAATTTTTTTTTAGTTTTTCTATTTTTAATATTGAATGTTAATGTTATTTTGTGGTCTATAAAAATTTAAATAATAAACAATTAATGATAGTTGCTGAGGTGGCGGAAGTAGAAATGAGAAAATGTAACTTTATATATATATATATACTGACAACACATTATAATCATCTTTTTATGTTTGTTAATTTTATATTAAATGTTA